AGACTGAATTGGAGGACTTCAGTTTTCTAATAATGGACAAGGAAGCAGCCAGATGGTCCAGCTATGACAGCACAGCTCGTCAATACTAGATATTTTTGGAAGATGAATTGTATCATAGCAAAAAATCTCTCTGCGCAAAGGATGAGTCATGAGCATGACTGATTGGCTGGTAGCATCTGCAATCAACTCTGGCTTGCTACCTTCTGACTCACTGATTAAAGCATAAATGGATTGGGCACTTTCTCTCTGGCTTTTAGTTCAGAGAAACATTCTTGATATTCAAGGGGTTGGTTTCAGCTGGATGATAGTTCAGCAGAGATAAGGGAGGTTATAACTCTGCCTCCAAGGATGCCACCTTTGTTGGAAACTGACCATGTAGAAACTCCTTTTGCACTTAGAAAGACCAGAATAAAATTAGCCTTTTTTTGCTGCCACTACCAGTATTCTTTGCTCAAGCTGTGGCTGGGCTGTGTGAAGGGGAGCACTGAGAAATTCTCTATATGTATCCACAGCCTTGCTTGAGGATGGGAGTTGTGAGCCAGTGGTGGTTGTCACATTGGGCTGGCGGTGTGTGCAAGTATTTCACGAATAGCTGCCATGACCGCTTGCAGCCTTACCCACCTGCCTGTTTATTCAGAAAGCAGGTTGTCAGCCAAAAAAGAATGAGCCCTGTGACACTGCAAGCAAAAAAGAATTAGCTGTGCAGGCAAAAGTCTGCAACAAGACATGATCCTATGAAAAATAAGCCAGCCATATGCTAAAACCACATCTAGAGTATTTCAGCTTTTCAAGTCCTAGCCCCATCATGCACATGCCATAAATTCATGCAGAACTACACACTCACGTAGGCTCATGTCTACTTATTTTGCATTGGTATAGTCGTATACAATTATAAACATCACATAGAACTGCATACACACAACACACCTGCACAAAATTCCACATATACACTGACACATATTACACACAGATCCTCATACATGCCTCACACACAAATATGCACTCACACACAAGTATGCACTCACACGCATATACATTCACACACATATACAACCACACACACGTTTCATTTAACCCTCCTTCTCTAGCAGGAACACACACTTTTCCACCTGGAGATCTGGGTAGCATTTGCAATAAAAATGCTCCTAGAGTTCTCTTTCCTGCTGTTTGGCTGCTGAAGTTTGTGGGGCAAGTAGTGGGAGGAATCCTCAGGTCCGAGTCAGATGACCAGGTGCTCTGACCCTGAGCAGACAAAGTCAATGGCTGGGTGGTCTTGAAATCCTTGGTTTAGCCTTGTAGCCACTGCCATCCCAGGGGCTACTGCAGAACCTCGCACACAGAAAGACTTCAATGTTTATTGAAAAAAAAAAATCAAAGAGTTTGTGATTTAGCACTTAATCCTTTCTTCGTTTAACTTTTAAAATTAAAAACAATTTTTTATTAGAGTAACTTCTTGTCCCTTTCCCCTTATCTAGCTTCTGATAGACATGCGCAAGGTGATGTGCAGATCTCTTAGAATAAAACCCTCCCTGGAGAGTGGAAAACCCACATAGCTTACTTGAGTCTTTTGAGAATTTAATCAGAGATGCCCAAACCTTCAGACAGCTAGTCCGAGGCTCTCATTTTATAGATGAGTAAACTGAGGCCCAGAGATGTTAAGTGATTTCTTCATAGTCACCGAGGAGTTGGCAGTAGAGCAGGGACAAGGGACTCAGCAGCCTAATTCCTGGACTAATGCTGTCCTATACTTTTCACTTTGGTTGGGCTTGAGTGATTTTATTGCAGGGAGTAACTCCTTGATAAGAATGCTAAGACAAGTCCTACATGTTATAGACTGTCTTACAATAGTCTGAGGAATTACACTGGTTTGGATGGAGCATTCGCTACATTCTAATAAATCTTGCCTGTGCTATCACGCTGCTTGTCCTCTAATCTAACATGTTTAGATGTGATGAAAGGTATCCCTGTTGAACTATTTCTATAAATTTGAACTCTGACTTTCTTAGTGTATCGGATCCCTGAATACTGTCCATGGCTGGTTGCATCTGCGTGGTAGATATTAGAGAAATCCCAGGTTCACAATGGTTTATAGCCTTGCCCTACTTAATAGGTATGATACAGCTAATGCTGGTCACCATCATTTCATTAGAGCAACAAAATCACTAACCATCTCATTAACTTTGAAGAGATTAGATTTGTTTTAGAACGTTGCCCTTTATTTAGCCAATGCGATGATTTATGGTATTATATGTTTCTTGTCACTTCATAAACTGGAGTTCGACTTTTTCTCTTGTTTTGTTCTGTAAAGCATTTGTATTTCTCTAGAATTGATTTTTGATTTTTTTTTTGAGCTGTGTTCAGTTTAGGTGTCTCACTCTAGCCCATGTTTAGTAGATTTGCTTGGAAACCTGTGTGCGGTGGAACTTTTAAGTGCATTGCATGGTGTAAGTTTTTCAGACAACGCATATGTGTGCTATGTATTTGTATTTGCATAGTCATGCTTATTCTATGAATACAATAATATGCTTCCATGGAAGCAAATACAACTTGAATACACAGTGTGAACACACAAACCTGGTGGCTAGTAATAGCTATTACTCTCACTTGAACTGTGCCCTCCCCCAGAGGCAAACTAACACAATGTTAAATAAAAAAGATAATTTAAAATACACTGTGATATAGTGAATGCTGACAGTGGTTGTTAGGGTGATGGAATTGTGGGTAAATTTTCTTTTCTCTATTTTCTAAATGTTCTAGAATGTTATTTTATTATTTTAATATTAAAAAGAACACACTTATTATTTTAAAAGAAAGACAAGTGGAAAGACAGTAAGACAACATGTTTGTAAAAATTCCCCAAGTTGAAGTGAAAGTGTGGAGGAGTGTTAATACCATTATGATTCTTGACTTTTATTATCACTTATTTTCATAAAAGTGTCCACCAATTTATGTGCCACTTCCTTCCCCCTCTTTTTATTTTTTCTTTTATAGAATAGCTTTTCTCTCTCCCTCTTCCTTTTCTCCTCTCTTAACATGCATCTGCTTTGCTTCTTTGCTTCTTATGGTGGTCTATGTTATTTGATATAAGATGTCATCCACTGACTGTCAGTTCTGAAATAATGAGTTTTACACTTAGGTATGCTCTAATTATGACATGAGGTAATTGAACATTATGATATGTCACTTTAATAATCCAAAGTTAAAATATAAAATATAGCCAATATTTTGTAATAACTGTAAATAGAAAGTAACCTTTAAAAATGTAAAATTTTTTAAATTAAAAAAAGGGGATTTAATAAAAAATTAATTTGGTGTTAAAAAGGAGTATAATAAAATTTTAAGATGTAATAAAATATTTGTATATTTTGCAAATGAATGAATGAATAAATGAATGAATGAATGAATGAATGAATGAATAAATAAAATGGGATCGAAGTTGGTATTAACACCAAGTTTTCTACTAAAATCCAGCAGGAAGGACTTGTGTTTGGATTTTGCCAAGCTTGATTGTGCTGCTGAAGTGATTTTTTTTCTTTCCTTATCTCCTGATAGAATGAAACTGTTTCTGTGAATAGTGTTTAAGTCATGGTTTAATGAATCTGTAGGTTTCTTTCGTTAGTTAAATATGTCTATCAATTATCCTTATTCACACAGGAAATGATTCCTTTTTTGTACTTTGTCCTTGACAGGAAAGGTAATACTAAGTACCCTTTGAAAATACTAGTGTGAAGAGTCACCTATAGGAACAGAATTAAATCTGTGTCAGATGTTATACCTGTGTGTTTGTGTGCTTGTGTGTGTAGGTGTGCACACGCAGTCACACACATATGCATCAGTAACTAGCATTTGTAGAGCTTCTATCAGGAAACCACCAAGGAGACAACTTCAGGTACTGAGGATAAAACTTAAGTGTCGAGAAAAACCTTTACTACTACATTTATGACTGTTTCTGTTCTCACTGAGTGCTCTTACGGTTGATCTAATGATAACTTTAGTTTTCAGGTTCAGAAGTGGAAATTATTTAAACCTTGTGAAAATTTAACCTATATACCCTACTGGCCTACTTACTCCTAAATCCTCCTTGCCAGTTTATGATGGGAACAAATTATAGAGGCCAGAGTCATCATTTTTATTTCATATCTTCTTTTAGCAAATTATTTACATTTTAATTCCTTTTATTTTTCCTAAATACTGGATTTAACTAGCGATTAGAGACAGGGCTGAGGAAATTTTCCTGAAATGATTTCTCCTAATGATCTCTTAGTCTTATAGAAAAGCAGCCTCAGTTTTGCAACAAACATGTAACACTTTTATTATCTCAAAAAAAAGAGCTATTTAAAAAATGTGACTCTACTATACAAAAAAGACAGGGTTTAATTTTTTTTCCAATTCTAGCTAAGAAATCCTCTTCCCCAAGCATAGAGGAAACGCTGTTCAAGAAGCCCCTTCCGAATCATGATGGGTTGGGAAAAGGCAATAAGCAAAAGGCCAGAAGAGTGGGCCTCTTCTGGTCTTGTGAGAGAAAATTCTAGAAGCAGTTAGTGGAACCAAGTAGAGGAAGGAAAATGAGCTGATATCTTCTGTACTCCCTCCCTTACTCCTCAGAGCATTTCTGAGAGGACACATGGCAGAGTAACCTATGGAAGCCTGGTCTCAGGGGAGACGGCCCTGACTTGTGGTAGGTCTGTAGCAGTGGACGGCCAGGCGGAGGAGTCTGGGTTCTGCTCCCTTGTGAGGTCTGCATGCCATGTTCTCTCTTTCCCTTCCGCCTTCCCTCTCTTCCTTTCACTGAGCGCACCCGTATACACACTCACACACACACTCCACACACTCACACACAAAGATTTTCAAAGTGTTCACTCCATGTACATTCTACACAGAGACCAAAATTGCAACCAAGAGAATATAACCATAATCTTCGTTAGGTATTGCTGAAACATAGAAGTAACAAAAGTTAAAATATAAATGAAAATTTAAAAAATCAAACCACTACTAGAGCATTTGGGAAGAGAAGTGCCTGTTTAATAAATACATAAATTATAGTTATTTTATTTAGAAAACAACCACCACCCCAGTGTTTCTGGAAAGTAGACTTGGCATCTCTAGAAACAGTTACATGAACTTGATGAAGAATAGAAATTTCTTATTCTTTCAGGTCTCATGACTTATTGTTATAATTAGTAAGGCCAACTTCTAACATAAAGGATTATAATAAAACATTCTTTGAATATTAAAATAATTCTTCCAAAGCCAGTATAAGCCTTGCAAATTTCAGACAAGTTACTGTAGCAGAAACTCTGCCCCAGATACATACCATAGTGAGTAATGTGTTGCTATGAAAGGTTTCTGGATGAAAAAAAAATGAACTCTGGGTATTAGAGTATTTAATATACTGGATTTGGCTCCTCTCAGGCCCATTTCTCTTGCTAAACATTCAGACTGAGACTCTACCATGATTATCTAATCTTACTCCATTCTTGGAAGTTCAGCCTCTATAAATAATGGGAAAGGAGACCCTCTTGGATTGTTCTGGTGCATATTTGGCTCTGAATTACATGAATGTTTAAATCTCTAAGATTTCCAGTTAATGTTGAATTTGGCTGGATACCTTGTAGTTATAATATCTTAAGCCTTTAAAAATACATGGGCTCTCAAATAACAATATGTTTTTTTCCTGATTTTTTTTCCCTGACTAGTATTTTATTACCCTCAGTGTCTACTTCAAACAAATTTTATGCAGTTTACAATTCTTATAACATATGGTTGCTGCCTACAAGCGCTCTGCGTGCCTTAACAGACAGCCACATGTGACAATGAATGAGTCGTAGAGAATATTGCTTTTATCCATTTTTCTACTTAAGGTCAACTTTTAAAGTAGGGTTGGGTTAGATCTTTTTTTTTCCCCTCCCTCCTTCCTCTCTCCCTCTCCCCTGCCTCCCTCTCTTCCTTCCTATTTCTTTGTTGCAGTCTCTCTTTACTCAAATAGAGTAATTCATGCTGTAGGCATTATTAGAGGTTCTTGTCAAGCAATGATAATGTAATACGCATGTAGACAACCCCAGGTATTTCTAGCTTTTGCGTCTTGTATCCTCACCTATTTTTCAAGTCATTTTGAGTAGGGACCCATTTGTCCTTTGCTTTGTTACTTCTGGCTGTAGAGAATTCATCAAAGCAGAAAATGTGTTGGTTTTTAGCCTCATCACTCACATTGAAACACTGTGTGGATTTCTGTTTTAGAAAAATAATAGCTTTTACTTAGCTGTGATTGAGATGAGGGCTGAGTGTAATTTCCTGCTGCAAAGGAGAAGGTTGGAAGGAAGGAACAGAAACTTAGAGACTGTAGACTGGGGCAGTGACAGCAAGAGGTGGTGAGGAACCCCCTGGAGAGAATGGTAGACAACAGAGAGGCAACAGAAAAGTTGGCAGGGCCTGGTAAATATGCTATCTCGAGACCTCTGTTGCTCAAGAGGCAGGGGACCAGAGCATCCCGAGGGCCCTCATTCCCCCTACCCCCCCCCCCCCCGATCCCTTTCCCACTTCCAACCCTTTCCTTTCAGGAAGCCATGAATAGGCTGCCTCCCCACATGAGGAAGTTGCAAGGCGATGGGCTGAGTTGTGTAGGAGAAGCAGCTGGAAGAGGTGAGCAGTCTACTGCTGTGATAGTTTCCCTTTCTGCTTAGGGCTTTCTGTGGCCATCTGTGTGTCTGTGTGCTCTGCATAACCATGCAGTCTAACTCAACTGCTATTCTGTCATTTAATCCATTGAACCACCATTGATTTACTTATTTTTAACCAACATTATTTGGCCTACATACTTGTGTTCTGAACCCGTTTCTGGTTCAAAGAGCATCAGTCTACTGCAGTCCCAAATGCAAGAAAGAGATAATTTTTTTGCATAAGCGTATAAATATTTTGCATGAGAATAATACAAAAAGAGATGAGAGAAATGTATGTGTACTATATATATTCACTTATGTGTATATAAAATATACATGTGTATATATGTGCTTAAACATACATGTATATATTCACACACAAGTATATATTCACATACATATGTGTATATATATATATACACACACATACATACACACATATACATATATTATGTATATAGTGTTTAAATGGAACTTGGTCATCCATTACTTACTATGGAACTTACTAAACAACATGGAAATAAAGCAGCACTTTTTCAATATTTATATATTGTAGTGGAAGTCTTTAAATACCAATTTTATGGTTGGTTAAGAACTTGAATTAAATACCATCTTAATTACAAATTAATATAAATTTGCTACTTGTATGTTTTGTTGCCATTTGGGAAAATTATACTATCAACAAGTGATAAATAGAAAAGCTCCAAATCAGTTATAAACTAAGAACACATAGCAAAAGCTGAATGTACTCTGCGTAATGTTTAAAAGTGTCTTGATTCTAGTTAAGTCTCTTCCATTAGACATCCCTAGCCCTTAATGCCGCTTTCGGAAGACAGTCTGTTTCCAACAAGATGGAAAGTCAGGAAGAACAGCCTCCGAAGGCACAAGGGGGCTCAGTCCACCCCTTCCAGGTTGGTGCCGGCCACTTCAGGCAGCTGGGGCCCAGCCGCGGCCCCCCCTGGCAGCCCCTCTGCTGCTGCTGCTGGTGGGGGCTGCCCCCCGGGCTCACGCCCCGCCTGCCCGGCCGGCCTGTGCTCACCTGCTGCGGGTTCCATCGCCTGCAGGGAGGCCTGGGCCGGGGGCTCGGGGGCCTGACCCGAAGCTGCTGCCTCTGGCTTCTGGGGCTGCTGATCAGCCCGTGCTCCAGAAGGGAGGCCAGCACTTTGGGCCTCTGCTCCTGACGCTGCAAGGGGATTCCTGGCTCCGAGGGGAGGTTCTGCCTCATTACCTCTCTCGGCCTCTGCCTGAGGACTTGGGGGAGGCAGGGGACTCTCTGAATGGCATGAGGGGCTCAGAGCAGGTTGTTCTGGCTCCTTGAGGGCCGTGGTGTCACCCCCCGGAGGACTGCCAACTTCTGGCTGGATTTCTCTGGACGGGCCTAGGGTGGACTCTGGACAGTGAAGTACCATGAAGGCCGCGGCCAGGTTTTTCACGGCTTCATGAACTCTGTCGGCTTCATCCTCATCGGCCTCTTCACCCACAGCCGAGTTTGCCTCTGGCTCATCGTCGGAGGTGTGCTGGCCTTGGTCACATTTTTCAGGCATTTTTGCTTCTCTAATTTTTTTATAGAGTTCGTTTCTTTCTTCTTGTAAAGCTCGACAGAGGTTCTCTAGCCTTCCAATTTTCATCACGAAGCATTCATATTCTTTAGCTCTCAGTGCTTTCTGTGATTTGAAAACACACACACACTCATAAAACAACACGAAAAGCAAAATTGCCAGGATGCTGTCTGGAGACAAGCAAACCATTTGTCCTGGAATTTGTCTGTTAGGCTCTGACCTCAGGGTGGTAGCTGGTCAGGGACATCACTTCTGTTGTTGCATTGTGTTGGAGACTCTGGTAAAATTTTAATCCTTTTAAGGAAAGACAGATAGCAAAGCCTCTCTCTGCTTCAGTCTAGGGCCTCTAAAATCTGAAGGCGGGTGACTCTCCTGCCACTAAGACTTAGAAGGGGTAAGCAGAAGCTTGTGGCAAAATGATTGAGATGGACGGGGACCTGGCTGTCAGCAATGCTTTATCTGTTCTACAGATAAACTGCTATGTGCTAGTCCAGCAACGGCTTGATCTATGTTTTTGAAATAAGCACATCTCTTTGGAGCTGGTTGTTATTTGGAATGAATCATTAAAACAGTAAACAGAGTTAAAACAGAGAAACTCACCACACATTCATTCATGATGCTGCTCAACCTGTTCAGTTCTCTTTTCCTCTAGAAATGTCACTGTGTTTGTGCAAGAAATTGATCTTAATCATCTTACTCCTTCATCCCTACCTTTGTGTTACTCTGTCCCTTTTAAGACTCCCCCCTCCCCAGCTGTTTACATGGCAAAACCTTCACCTGTAAGCCCTGCCTCTCAGGTCAAGGGCCATGTATCTTCGCCTTTATCGTCTCAAAGCCTCCAGAGCCTAACATAATATCAGTGTTTAAATGCCTGTTGGAGGAATTAAACACCATGTCTCCATACCTGTCTATGAAATAGCATATTCCCTGGGTGCTTGGGCTGGTGTCTTCTCTCAGTATGTTCAAATCAACTAATTAATTTATTCTGCACCCGCTATGTGTCAGGCACCTGGGAAATTCAAGGACAGGTAAAACATTGACCCTGCCTTTAAGGAATTCGCAGTCTAGCAGGTGTGGTGCTGCTTTGGGGACAGCTTTTGAATCAACAAGTAGGCATGTATGTGACTTAGGGTCACAATGCTCTTTATGCGTCTGGACCCAATTCTAAATTACTTTTGCTCTCATTATTTTTATTGCAACATCATATATCACACCCCAGAAAAATTCAGCTCTTTTTCAAAGGTAATCTTTTGAGCCATTAGGCAATAATTATTTCCTGAGTATGAATATATTGACTAGACAGGGGAAGAGGAATAAGGCGGAACGCTTCCTCACCTCTTCAATCATGTCCAGCAGAGCTTTGTTACAGTTCTCAAACCGGGCTTTCCACGTGGCTGTGTCCTTTTCCAGTTTCTTCATTTTCTTGGTTGTCTACAGAAATTACAGTGTTTTAATGTAAATCTTGAGGAGTTAATATATCAAAGAAACTATCAGTTCCATATGTGATGTTAAGAAAAGTCCTTTTGTTACTAGCTGCTGAAGCAAGCAAAAATTCCATGTCAAGGAATGAAGATTGAGTGGAGAGAGTCATGATTTATTTTTGAACCATCTAGGTCAGTGGTAAACAAACGTACTTGCACCAGAGCCAGTTCAGGGGAACGGAAACTACTTAGAGCCTTCCTTTTTATCACTGCTTTCTCTTTTGTTTAAAATAAAAATAACTTTATTTAGTCCTAAGAATAAGCTTGAAATTTAGATTATTTACTTTATTGAATAGAAGACTATTAGTGAGAAAGTTGGCCTGGCTTTTTAGCCATTAAAATGTTGATAATATCTGGGCACATCTGAGAAGCAGCCACACAAAGGCAACTTTCTATTTTCTCAGCCTTTCCATTTGTGGAGTGCAGTAGGATTCACTAAATGTGATTCCATGTGTTATTCATTTCATTCTTGAAACAGTCCCCCAAGGAAGGTTCTATTTTCACCTCAACTTTATAAATGGGGAAACTGAGGCTCAGAGAGGTGGAGTGATATTCAGGTGAGTTAGCAAAAGTGGGCCTGGAGTGACTTCATTTAATGCAACACGTGCAGAGTGCCTGCTGGTTGCCAGGCCAGGGCTGGGTATAGGGTGCCCAGAAGTGAATAAAATGCAGCCTGGCTTTTTCAAACCTGAAACTACTCACGTTCCTGGTTATAGGATCTCCTCTCTGCTTGGATGAAGTGAAGTTAAGACACATATTCAGGTGCAGTTACCCTGGATGAACCATACCCAGGCACTTGCTGCTTTGTGCCAAACTGCCTGAGGCTAGGTCTGCTTGGAGGCCAGAGGCTGGATCCAGGCTCTTGGCCCCTGGGCTTTATAGAGAAGCTGTGTGAGCCTAGAGTGCTTTTAAAGTTTGATTATTTCTTAACCAAGTTAGTAGTTTATAAACTTTTAAAAGTAATCAACCCCTTTAGGAATTTGATGAAATCTATGAGAACACCTAAAGAAATGCAATATGCAAACCAAAATTTTTTGGTAATTCTAAGGTCAAGTACTAAGTTTATAAATGAGTCCCAGATTAAAAACTCCTACTCTAAGGGGAATCTCACCACAACAGCCTAATTCTCAGTGTGCTCAAAATGGGTATGGCTCCACCTCCACAAGTTCTGGGAGCACACAAGCGCTGGAGGGTTGCCCACATTTGGAGGCAGGACTGAAATCCAAGCTGATACCCAGGGACCACAGGACTTCGGAAGCAGGGCTGAAATCTGAGTGTCCCAGCAGCTGTGAGATCCACAGATTTATGTTGCCATGGACAGCTTTGTAAACTCAATGTATACGGCACATCTGAGCAGATTACTCATGCTCCAGCAGCTGGGGCAAGTCTGGTGCTAGTGACAGTGTGCACATGCAGAGGCGGGGCTGGGGTCTGGGCTGACTCAGTAGCTCCCACAGTGGGTCTTGGTGTGTGACTATGGCAGTCCCGATGCCTGACCTCAGTGGTTCTGCACCAGTGGATCTGTGCTGGTGGCTTTGTGAGCACAGCACTTGAGGGACACCTGGGCTGATTGCCTGAATTTCCATGGTTGGGGTGGGGCCGAGAGCAGCACCAAAAACAGTGTACTTTGTGAGCCTGCACAATGGGTTACAGGCAACACCACAGAATGCACTTCTCAGTGGACAGCTCCTGTGGAGGAATACTTAGCAGTTCCTCTCTCAGTAGGAATGGTCCAGTCCTGCCTATATTACACCACAGTTCAGAAATGTGTCTAGAGGCATCTACTCCAATGACTGGGGAGCAGACTCTGCCCCTGACAGGGCTTTGACAACCACAGAGCAAAGAGGAGGCCCTGCTCAACATCTAGTGCTGGCTCTGGTCACCACAACAATAGTCCACCCCCTATCAAGGGGGTAATAGCTAGGACACACTGAGGAAAGATGAGGTAGGAATCCATACTAAAAACAGCCCTCACACTAAAAATATTAGACCCATGGAGGCTACAAAGGGAAACCCCCACATAAAAACAGCCCTTCAAGACCACAGTAGTTAACTGTTTCTCCTAAACTCATAAAGTCAGAGAAATACAAGTAAAATGAAGAAGCAGAGGAACCACTCCCAATTAAAAGATCAAGAGAATTCCTCCAAAAAAAAAAAAAATCAATGAAACAGACATCTCCAGTCTACCAGATCCCAAGTTCAAAAAGGAGGTAATGAAAATACTGAAGGAATTAGACTATTGATAAATACAGATTCCTGTAAAAAGGAATTAGAAACCATAAAGAGGAGCCAATTAAAGTTAGAAAACTCATTTGCTGAGACAAAAGCTGAGCTAAAGGCATTTAATAGTAAACTGGATAAGGCGGAAGAATGAATAAGTGATCTGAAAGATGGAATAATGGAAATCAACCAATCAGAATAGCAGATAGAAAAACAAAAACAAAAACAAAAAAAGAAAGTAATATACAAGACTTATGGGATAATATAAAGTATCCCAATCTACGTATAATAGGGATCCCAGAATGAGAAGGAGAAAAGGGGATCAAAAATGTATTTGAGGAAATTATGGCTGAAAACTTCCCAAACCTAAAGAAGGAAGCAGATAGCCAGGTATACAAAGCACTGAGGGCCCTAAACAAGATGAACCCAACACAGAGCTACATAAAGACATATTATAATTAAAATGGCAAAAGTTAAAGATAAAGAGAGGATTCTAAAGGCAGCAAGAGAAAAACAAAGAGTTAATTACAAAGAAACCCCACATAAAGCTATCAGCTGATTTCTCTACAGAAATGTTGCAGACCAGAGGGGAGTGGCAAGATATATTTAAAGTCCTAAAAGGGAAAAAAATGTAACCTAGAATATTCAACCCAGCAAGATTATCATTTAGAATAGAAGGAGAGATAAAGAATTTCTCAGATTAGCAAAAACTAAAGGAATATAGCAATATTAAACCTATCCTAAAAGAAATATTGAAAGCTCTTCTCTAAATAGAAAAGAAGGAAGACTTTATATGAAAGAGAAAATCACAATGGGAAAGTAAATCACTTAAATAAGCCAGGACACAGATTTAATTTTTTTTTAATTTTGTGAAAGTGACGAAAACTACAGTGAACAGCAAAAGGATAAACATGAAGATGTAAATGAGAACATCAAAATCAAAATGTGGGGAAGGAGAGTAAGGAAAAGTAGATTTTTTAAAAGAATGTGTTTGAGCCTATATAACTAGCAAGTAGATATAGTAATGGGTTAACATACTTGACAAAAAAGGTAATCACAAATCAAAAACATACAATAGATTCACAAAAATGAAAAAGAAGAAAACACAAGCATAATACAAAAGAAAATCATCTAACCACAAAAGGAAAAAAAATGGAACAAAGGAGAAATACAAAATCAATGGGAAAACAAGGTTTAAAATGTCAATAAATACATATATATCAATAATTATCTTAAGTGTCAATGGACTAAATACTCCAATCAAAAAGACATAGAGTGGCAAATTGGATAAAAAAGCAAGAGACTACAATATACTGTCTACAAGAGACCCTCTTTAGGGCTAAGAACACACACAGATTGAAAGTGAGAGAATGGAAAGATATTTCATGCAGATGGAAATGACAAGAAAGTCAGGGTAGCAATACTCAGACAAAACAGACTTTAAAAATGAAAGCCATAAAGAAAGATAAAGAAGGACACTATATAATGATAAAAGGATCAATACAAGAAGAGGATATTATACTCGTTAACAGATATGCACCCAATATAGGAGCACCTAAATACATAAAACAAATATTAACAGGCATAAAGGGAGAAATTGATAGGAGTACATAACAGTAAGAAACTTTAACACCCTACTCACATCAGTGGACAGATCTTCCAGACAGAAAATCAATAAGGCAACAGAGATCCTAAATGATATAATAGAACTTAGACTTAATTGACATTTTCAGGACAATACATCCAAAAAACCTAAAATACACATTCTTTTGAAGTTCACATGGACCATTCTCTAAAACTGACCACATATTAGGACACAAAGCAAGCCTCAGGAAATTTAAGAGGACAGAATTTATTTCAAGCATGTTTTCTGACCACAGTGGTATGAAACTAGAAATCAACCACAGAAAGAGAAATGAGAAAAAAATGAATACAAGGAAACTAAACAACATGCTACTATAAACCCAGTAGGTCAACAATGAAATCAAAGAGGGAATTAAAAAAAAAAAACCTTGAGACAAATGACAATGAAAACACAACCATACAAAACCTACAAAGTCTACGGGATGCAGCAAAAGCAGTTCTTACAGGGAGGTTCACAGCAATACAGGCCTTCCTCAAAAAACAAGAAAAATTTCAAATAAACTATCTAACCTATCCCATAAAAGAATTAGGAAAAAAAGAACATACAAAGCCTAAAGTCGGCAGAAGGAAGGAAATAATAAAGATCAGAGATTAAATAAATAAAATAGAGATTAAAAAATAGAAAAAAATCAATAAAACCAAGAGCTGGTTCTTTGAAAGGGTAAACAAATTGGCAAGCCTTTGGCCAGGCTCACCAAGAAGAAAAGAATGAAGACTCAAATAAACAGAATAAGAAATGAAAGAGGAGAAATAACAACCAATACCACAGAAATACAAAAAACTATAAGAGAATACTATGAACAATTATATCTCATCAAATTGGACAAACTAGGAGAAATGGACAATTATATAGAAACATACAACTCACCAAAATTGAATCAGGAAGAAACAGATAATTTGAACAGTCACTAGAAGTAAAATAGAATCTGTAATTAAAAACAAAAAACAACAACAACAACAACAACAACAACAAAATTCCTGTAAACAAAAGTCCAGGACCAGATGACTTCACTGGGGAATTCTACCAAACATATAAAGAGCTTGTATTGACCCTTCCCAAAATCTTCCACAAGACTGAAGAGGAAGAAACACTCCCAGACTCTTTCTATGAAGCCATCATCACCCTGATACTAAAACCAGACAAAGACAATACCAAAAAAAGAAAATTACAGGCCAATACCTTTGACGAATATAGATGTAAAAAGTCTCAACAAAATATTAGCAAACTGAATCTAACAGCATGTAAAAAAGATCATACAGCACAGTCAAGTTGGATTCTTCCCAGGGTTACAAGGATGATTCAACATACACAAATCAATCAATGTGATGTACCACGTCAACTAAATTAAAGACAAAACCCACATGGTCAACTTAATAGATGCAGAAAAAGCATTTGATAAAATTCAATATCCATTTATGATGAAAACTCTTACCAAAGTAGGTATAGAGGTAACATGTCTCAACATAATAAAAGCTATTTATGACAAACCCACAGCCAACATAATGCTCAATGGTGAAATGGTGAAAGCCTTCCTGCTAAAATCTGGAACGAGACAAGGATACCCTCTTTCATTACTTTCAGTCAACATAGTATTGGAAGTCCTAGCCACAGCAATCAGTCAAGAAGAAGAAATCAAATGGATCCAAATTGGAAGAGAAGAGGTAAAATTGTCACTATATGTGGATGGCATGATACTATATACAGAAAACCCTACAGACTCCACACAAAAACTACTAGAAGTGATAAATGAATTCAGCAACGTAGCTAGATAAAAAATTAACGTACAGATATCTACTGCATTTCTTTCTACTAACAATGAAATATCAGAAAGGAAAAGTGAAAAAAAATCCTTTTTAAAATCGTGTCACAAAAAATAAAATACTTAGGAATAAACCTGACTAAGGAGATGAAAGACTTATACACTAAGAACAATAACATCCTGATAAAGGAAATTGAAGATGGTTCAAAGAAATGGAAAGATAGCCCATGCTTTTGGATTTGAAGAATCAATACTGTTTAAATGGCCATACTACCCAAAGCAATCTACAGATTTAATGTGATCGCTATCAAAATTACCATGACCTTTTTCACAAAACTAGAATAAATAATCCTGAAATTTACATGGAATCCCCAAAGACCCAGAAGTTCCAAAGCAATATTGAAGAAAAAGAATGAACTAGAAGAATAGCCCTCCCAGACTTCAGACACTACTGCAGAGCTACAGTAATCAAAACAGCATTGGCACAAAAACAGACATATGGATCAATGGATCAGAATTGAGAGCCCCAGAATAGACCCACATACCTATGATCAATTAATCTTTGGCAAAGAAGGCAAGAATATACAATGGAGAAAAGATAGCCTCTCCAGCAAGTGGTGTTGGGAAAGCTGGACAGCAGCATGTATATCAATGGAGTCAGAACACTCTCTCACACCATACACAAAAATAAACTCAAAATGGCTTAAAGACTTAAACATGACAAGAGACTATAAACCTAGAAGAAAACATAGGCAAAACATTCTTTGACATAAATCTTAGCAATGTTTTCCTAGGGCAATCTACCAAGGCAATAGAAATAAAAGCAAAAGTAAATAAATGAAACCTAATCAAACTTTTAAGCTTATTCATGGAAAGGAAACCATAAACAAAATGAAAAGACAACCTGCAGACTAGGAGAAAATATTTGCAAAGGACATGACTGACAGGGCTTAATTTCCAAAACATACAAACATCTCATACAACTCAATAACAGAAAAAGCAAACAACCCAATGAAAAAATGGGCAGAAGACCTAAATAGATATTTCTCTAAAGAAGACATAACAGATGGCCAATAGGCACATAAAAAGATTAACATCACCAGTTATCAGAGAAATGCAAATCAAAACTACAATAGGTACCACCTCACACCAGTCAGAATGGCCATCATTAAAAAGTCTACCAGTAACAAATGATAGAGAGATTGTGGAGAAATGGGAATCCTCTTACACTCTTGGGGGGGAATGTAAATTGGTGCAGCCACTATGAAAAACAGTATGGAAGTTCCTTAAAAAATGAAAAATAGAGTTACCATATGATCCAGCAATCCCACTCCTGGACATTATCTAGAGAAAACTCTAATTTGAAAAGATTCATGCACCCCAATGTTCATAGCAGCATTATTTACAGTAGCCAAGACATGGTAGCAACCTAAATGTGACATTGATAGATGACTGAATAAAAAAGTTTTGGTGTATGTATGTATATTTATGTATATCACACACATATATATAATGGAATATTACTTAGCCATAAAAGAAGGAACTAATGCCATTTGCAGCAACATGGATGGACCTAGAGATTATCATACTAAGTGAAGTAAGTCATAAAGAGAAAGACAAATACCATATGATATCACTGATACATGGAATCTAAAATATGATACAAATGAACTTACTCACAAAACAGAAAGAGACTCACAGACATAGAAAACAAACTTATGGTTACCAAAGGGGAAAGGGGATGGGGGAGGGATAAATTAGAGTTTGGGATTAGCAGATATAAATGATTATATAAAAAATAGACAAACAACACGATCCTACTCTATAGCACAAGGAACTATATTCAATGTCCTACAATAAACCATAATGAAAAAGAATATGCATATATATGTATAACTGAATCACTTTGCTGTACATTAGAAACTAATACAACATTTTAAATCAGCTATACTTTGATAAAAACTCTCCTGCTCTAATATTTATTCCAATTTTAGAATTATGTAGTTTTGAAGTAAATAAAAACATTTTCTACTCTAATATTTGTTCTAAATTAAAACTCTGTAGTTAAAAAAATTTTTTTTTTCTAATGGATGGATACATTCTGGAATGGGAAAGCTATAACTTTGATAAATGTTGGCCTATTAAGTTTGCTCATGAATTGTGAATTTGGTCGTATCACTTTATGAAAATTTTTTAAAAGGATGCTTTTCTACACTTAAATAGGGTTAATGCCAATCCTTATTCAGAAACATAGTTGTGATGGCTGATTTTGTTTTGGGAAAATACAAAATTGAACAAACTTTAAACATTATGTCCAATAATAATATAATAGCAACTTACATTTGTAAAAGGCTCTCATTCAAGGCTCTGTCAGTTATGTTATATTACATATCCTCTCTTCTAAGACGGATCCTATGAAATGGTGTTTTCTACTCTAACATTTTACTCTTACATACTTGGATGAAACTTGTTTTTTTTAATCCTTAGAAGATTAGGTACTTTTTAATTTCAGTATGAAGAACATAATGTTAAATTACTAGCTCTTATCCTTTTTTTTCTAACTTCTCCATGGACTACAAAAAGAAAATATTCTTCCTCAGAGTGAAAATGTATCCTAGTGGTTTTGGACTCTTCCTAAGATTAATTCACCAGATACTTATCAATAAAAAAATATAGCCCAAATCTCATTTGCATGTATAAACATTTCATTACTTCTTGAAATGCACTGAAATATCTTAGCAAGAGAAAAATAAATCCAAAGGAGAATTGCCTGTCAAAAGAGAAAATGTCAATCTTTTGAGGATGATAAGCAATACTCACTTTATCCATTTCCTGTTTGAAAGTGGCAAACACCTCATTGCTTTTTGTCAGTGTGCTCTGAAACTCTTCAAACCTTCCAGCGTACAGAGTAAGCTGTAAACAGGGGAAAGAGTAAATCTATTTTAGGGCTGCTTTTGAAATGCTTCCAGAACAAAACAACATGTCATTGTTTATTATTTGAGAAGAAAAATGATTTAAGGGCATTCTCAATACAACATTAGTAATATGTTCACTTGTTTTATTCACTATGAGATCAGCATAGGTCAGTGAGTATGATTGAAGCACTTTTTTTTAATTTAATTTTATTTTTTGTTGAGTGGGGGAGGTAATTAGGTTTATTTATTTATTTATTTTTAGAGGAAGTACTGGGAATTGAACCCAGGACCTCAGGCATGCTAAGTATGTGCTCTACCACTTGAACTATACCCTCCCCCTTTGAAGCACTTCTTTAAAGAAAAATGAAATAATAAAATATATTATCACCATTTCATTATACCATAACTTTTACCAACAAACATTTATTAAGCACTGAACATATGCACTGACTCTATGTACAAAAGCGTTTATGCTGTAGCTTCTGTTTTTGAGGGACCTACACTCCTGATAGGAAGATAATGCCAAAGACAACTTGATTATGAGACAGTGAATACAAAATACCAAGTCAATTAAGTACTGATCTGAGAAGGAGGTGAGCATGGCAGGTGATCTTATGAGCCATGTTGTGCTGACATGGTGCGGGTTTGATGTGTCATATTCCCTCTCTCACTTTGGTGTTTCAGAGAAGCATGGAAGGGACATCCAGAGGTCATCCTCAGTACTCCTGCCAGAGGCAGAAATAGAAACAAACTATTTTAGGGTTAGTAACAACAATAGTTGCCCCAACTTTTCACTTCTAAATGGGCTGAGCACCACACATGTTCTTTTAACTGAGCGCAGATTTTAATTACAAACATTCATAGCATATAGGAAACAGAAATGTGTCCAGGAATTGTCTTAGCTAACTAGTGAGATTTGGTTCCGGAACTAGTCCAATTATAACAGTAGTTGCAGAGGAATCTCTTCTCGTCTTATGTACATAAGGTGAGGTTTTCTGGGATTAAAGACTGTGATTACCCATCTTTAACGATTGACTCACTGATCTTTCCTCTTGGGTAGTATTTTGTGTCTGCATTGCTGGGTTGTGTTGGTATTGCTGACTTTCCACATCTACTACCATCTCCATCCTTATCAATCTAATGAACATCGATTTGTAGTGACAATTGTATTCCATTGATCGTCTCTGACATTTACTCTATTGCCTAGGTTTGTATAACTGAAAGCCAGGCATCTCTTCCCTCAATGAGAATTATGCCTCAGATTGGCAAGCGGTTGTCCTATGACTGAAAAGTGACTTCCATCTTCTTGAAAGACACAGTCTGTCCTTAATGTTTCCTTTGCTCAGACCATAGAAATGGGGACTAAGGCCTCCCCCTCCCACCATCGTACCTCTTTATAGTTGTCAAGCCAAAGGAAGTCTTCAAGTGCTTTGCAAAATCATCTGTGATAGACTTTGTTTTTTAAGGTTTAAAAGTTTTTAAAATATAATGCTGATACCTTTCAAGAAAAGCTTCTTAAAACATTACTACATGTAGGGATTTGGGACCTCGCTATTCTTCTTAGTGATTAAGTAATTGTTGAAGTTTTGAAAATGGCTTTGAAGACAAAAGAGATAGACAAGGGAGGGTCCTTGCAGAGAGAGCTCCACGCCAGGGAAAGCAAGGTGATGGGGTGGGGGGAGGAGCAGGGGTAACTCAGCTCAGGGCCATGCTTCTTCAGGTCTGAAAATTCTCTACATTCATGAGCTAGAGCTGAACATGGTCTGAAGATCATCTTTTCTAGTGGTTCTTAAACTTTTTTGCAACTAAAGTCTCCTTTTATCTCATTTATCACTATGTGGATCCTTACCTATGAAATAATGCTATTATTAGCTCATCCACTAATTAATTATTAACATTTTAATTAATTTTATTGTCATAATTAGATTATGAGTTTAATTAGGCAGGATTTTTGACTCTCTTATTGGTTACTGTATCTCCAACACCTAGAACCATGCCTAGCACATAGTAGATGTATTTGCTGAATTAATTATAATTACTATGAGCCAGGCACTGAACTAAGTGCTTTGCATTCACAACTTGAAAACAAAATACATGTATGTTACATGGTCATTAACTCATTTTCCTTTTACAGACTTAATCAAACATATGAATAAGTGCCATTTTTGCTGCTGAATAAAAGCTGATAAAATGTCAAAAACAACTATATTTTCGGTAGCAATTGCTGCCTTATGTGCTGTTTATGTTTTGGAAATACTGAAAAGTAATGGGCCTTCCAGAGGTCGGACAACTCCAGCTTGGGATCGTTGATCCACTACAGCATCCTTATTTTACAGACTAGGGAATTTAGGTCCAGGGAAGTTTAGGTGAGTTGCATAGAATCAGACAGCTTCTCAGCAGAGTCTCAGAGCTGTGACACTGATCTCTGGACTCAAGCCCAGTATTCGGGGATAAACGAGGATCACTGGCAAGTCTAGAACCCCTGGTTGATATGTTTTCAAATTTGAGGGGGTATAGGTGGGAAATTGGATCACACTTTTATGTTTTTATTTCACAGCATTGAAGGCCTAGATTCTCATACCAGCTGAAGGAATCACCCTCTAGCCCAGAGTCTAATGATATTAATCTACTCTTCTCAAGTTCATTACCTTCATTTAGCATAGACGAGTAGAGATTGCTTATAACAGATGATGTGAACAATGTCTATTCAAGTACTGTCTGTTGTGCCCCTGAAGGCTCTGTGCTGTGAATCAGGCAGAGATAGAGCCAGAAGCTCTGACTGGATTCTATGGACTCCCCCTGAGACAGTACGTGGTCACACCTCCTTCCCCTGTGCCTGCTTCTGGTTAGAGAGCTGCCTCTGCCGGCCACCCACTCCACACCGTGCTGCAATGAGTTCTGTGACCGCCTACAGGACCACCTGGAGTTTGTAACTCTGGAGTTTAGTCTTTTAACTCTGAGTCCTTTGATTCTATTAATAGTGAAAAAAATATGGTTCCAATTCCTATGTAATTAGTATTTTAAAACTATTTTGATATATTATGCTAGTTCATCAGTGTGTTTGGTGTACACATTGGAAAAGTGTGCTTTAGGAAGGTTAGATAATGAAATAATACGTATGTTTTTGTCTATGCAGTGGTATAATTTGTGATGCTAAGTTTCTTATTTTTTCTATTTAAAAAATGAACAAGCATTCATTGAACTTGTTCATTTATACAATGAACATTTTTTTTCACAGTGAACAAGTATTCAGAAGTCAGCACATAAACATTTACAAGTGAATTACTCAAATCTTAAATTAATGCTGCCCAGTTTGGAAGGCTTGTAATTTTCTCACCTTCTGTGACTGCTCTTTGTGACTTTATAGATCCTTCAGCACCTGAGCGTTTCTCCCAGTAGGGGAGCCAAAGTCCCTCTGTGGCCCGGCCATGGCAGGATAGGTCTCCTGGAACCTACCAGGGAACGTTTGCCAGGAGAGTAGAACCCCAAGGGCCCCGGAAGAGTGGATGGGCTTAGCTTTCCTCCGGGCCCAGCTGTTGCATGAAGCTTTATTTTTGAGCCTGGAATACGAATTCCCATCGTCTAACACACACATGACATCATGAAACCAAATCAAAATGATTTCTGATTTGTCTGGAATTTCTAACCATTTGCCACTGACAAGGCCAACCTCTGACAGCACAAAAACTTGGGTACTGACTCTATTTCTCTAATTTCCTTTTATCATAAGTAATATCAAACAAGCAGGGACATTTTCAGTATTGACAATTATAGATGGTGCATCTGAACAGTTGACAAATTTGATCCTTTCCTTAATAGGTTAATGGGTGTGGGGAGAGAGAGGACATATGAACAGATAGGTGAGGACCTGGCCACCAGCTTATTCTGATTGACCTTCATTTGTACGTCAACCTTTTGACTAGAGGTTGTTGGCACAGAGCGTTTGTTTTTCTTAGATATAACATTGTGCTTTTATTTTAACTTAAAAATAATAAATAGGAAGTTATTCTTCATTTCCAACTCCTGTCCCCACTTCCCCTGCCACATGGAAGGCCTTGTGCACAGCAAGAAGGGCACACCCCATGCATTGTTGTCCCCCGACTTCACCTGAGCCTGCAGGACTGTCTCCTGTTCCTTCAACACTTTGGCCTGAAGTTTCCACTCTGCTGCCTGGTTCAGCAACTGTGAGAAGAGAGAATGCATGGGAAAACTGTCACATTACCATTTTGTTGTAATTGGTGTGTAAACTGAATAACTTGCTAATTAATCCTCTTAAGTAATTTTTTTTGGGGGGGGACTTTGTAAAGAATCTAAGGAAGTTGAGAAAACGACTAGTCTAAAAAGTTGAATTCTTGACTAAAAATTAGTGACTCTAATGGGAAAAAGGGAGAGAAAAATCTCCAACTCCAAGTATGAATTGCACAAAATTCAACCTCCCACCAAATTCTGGAACCTTCTGTAGCAATCCTGCCAACCATCATTCAGCCTCTGCTTGAACCCTTCCAGAACATCCTTACCTGGGACATTGTTCTGAGCAACTGTTCCTTAATATCAGACCATTGTTCTCCATCATACCCTGCATCAGAATCTCCTCGGGGGCATGTTAAAATGCAGATCCCTCTCAGAGAATATGTTAGGAAGCATAGGGTGTGATTAGAATCTGTACTTATAGCGAATGGATTAAAATCTGAGAATCACTGGGTTAGAAATCTGACCTATTATTGCAAATCCTGTATAAGGTTTACAAAGGAAGTCTCATCCCCTTTCCCTAAGGCAGCCCTTCAAATACAACCAAGGCCTTTACAGCAAACACGATCAGAACTGGAACTGATGGGTTAAATTGTAAAAGTTGTTTTAGGCATAAAAATGACACACACTTAGGTAAAACGTTATTTTAACTTAAGATATATGTTCATTTACTCATCAACTTTGATGTAGGGCTATGATCTTTGTTTTGGGTATGGATCTTCTGATCAGAATTCAGAGGGTTTTTTTGGTTGTTTTTTTTTTGTTTTTACAGAAATCATATCCATAATGTTCCATATAAAAGCTATAATTTTTTTCTATTTTAAATGATAGTGCTAGAACCTAAAGACCTAAGATATTTGTAAAGCAGCTTGATTGGATAATTCTCTTGAATTTTACAGCTTTTTTTCCAGTCTTTTATAGCTGCTCACACCTAACCTGACAATTGTTTTTTGCTATTTGCCTACATTTAGTCTTTCAAAGCATTAAGCATGGTTTTCATAGAAACAACTCTTTCTTTTAACAACATATTTTGTCAGTTTATGTATCATTCTGTTGGTTTACATCATACAAAACCAAGGATAACTGGAAAGAGAAGGTTTAGGAGCAGAGACTCGATTCTTGGTAACCTACATCTTACTTAATTGGACAACTTACTTAATTGGAATACCTCTCTACATGTAGACAGAGTGGCTAACTAGTCACAGGATTCAACATGCTATGGGCATCTGTCAGTACGCTTACAGGGAATGGTGAATACCATGGAACAGCTGGTTAGTCAGTCAGGTGACTGTCAGTTAAGAAGTTTCTATTTTATTTCAAGATAGATTGACATAAATTTTTCCTTTTTGTTTACCCCATTGTAAGAAAAAAAAAGTCCATTTTTAAAATCAGAGCAAAAACAATAAAAATCATTATTTTTAAGAACTTGGAGACATCTTTTTTCTTATCCAAGTTAGTCTTGACCTCTCCATCTGTAAAAGGGGTTATATATGTTCCTCTGTGCCTCCCAGAGAGTAGTGAAGATTAATTATGATAGACGTGCAACTGACTCACTGTATAAGGGGTCTGAGGCAGCTGCGGAGTGGAAGACCTGCAGCGCCCTCTCTGGCCAACTGAGTGGTTCAACGTGCTTTTGCTACCCTAATCTTTTCCTATTTCTGGAGGGTGCCAAGCTGGTTCCAGCATCAGGACCTTTGTCTCTGATACAGACACTGCTGCTGGAGACCTCTGCTCTGATCCCCTCTCAGCAGGCAGGGTGCAGCTCAAGCATGCCCCCCTCCTGGAGGCCTTCCTAGTCACTCAGGCTAAAGTAGGCCCCCTCCTTCTGCCCCTTCTCAGTTCCTCCTTATTTCCCTAATAGCACTTATTATTATCTGAAATTATCCTTCCTTGTTTGCTTGTTTATTGCCCGTCTCTTCCCAGTTAATAGTCTGTCTGCTGGGATGTGACCTGCTCCCTCCTGTTTGCTGCTACACCCCAGCACTGGGAATGATGTGTAGCATCTTGAAAAAGATTTGTTGAATGGATGCATGACTATTTTATGTAAAAAACACTGTAGGTACAGTGCCTCCTGCTGGGCTGCCCAGTCTCATTCTCCAGGGAAGCTTAAGCTCTTTTCTCATCAGTCTAGTGCTCTATGACCATCACCAGAAACAGCTTTCTCAGGGGTTCTCTGACTCAGACCAGACAAGCACACAGATGCAGGTGATAAGTACATATTCCTTTTCGCGCTTGTGTTGCTCCTCTGCTTCCTTCATCATTTCTTGTGCCTGCTCAAGTTTTGCATCCACCAGCTTCTGCTGCAGCTCTCTGTGTTTAAATATTTTGTCCAGATGCTGAGGAAAAATAAAGTGCACACATCACACTTGACTTATTATCACTGGTGCTGAAAAATGTAAAATAAAAAAGCTACGTTGACATAGACACATTTTCTCTGGATTTTAAGATTAAAAAAAAGAGAGAAGTTGGCACCACTTATGGTTTCGTATAAAAGCCCCAAGTTGGTGGAGTCCCCTGCATTTTTCACTACCTGAAAATGGCTGCAAAAGGTGGAGGTACCAGAGTTCACAGAGCTCAGCAATGCTAACTCCAAAAGGTCCCAACGTTATTTTTCTGAAGTTGGTAACTATCAGATATGATGCTAGTTATCATGCTAGACAGCACAGACAGTGATGTGTATTGCAAAGGCCACTGCACCATCTCTTGGTAGTTTGACTCTTTCAATGACTATAAAACCACTTTTAATCACAACATTAATGCAGTTTGTCATGATGAATCCTCCTCCACGTTCTTGCCTCAAGTGTTGTGAGGAAGCCCTGAGGTATTGCCTGTGGCCCTGGGTCCAGAACTGAGGCAGGAACCCCCTGACTTCAACTCTGTTGCTCTGGTGGGCAAGATAAGACTGAGGGTCACAGATAAACTGATGTGCAAATGTGCCTCCTCTGCACCTTTTGACTTTTTGATTACCTTGAAAAGAAGCTTCCACCTCTGCCTCATTATGGAGAATTTCTTGGTCATTAGGAGGTCCCACTGGCAAGAGGACATGTGGAATTCTATCCTTGGGCCTTACTTAGAACCAATCCCAGGAATATAAACCTAGTCTACCAGCAGTTCCCATCTGAGATCTCTGGGAAGAGTATGGACATTTTCTTTTCATCTTCTTCCCTTTTATTTTTGCCTGCTCTCCTCTGGAGCAGGACTGATCTTGATCGTATATAATACTGTTATTGGCTTGTGGGATATGTACAACGAAGACTTTTAATTTAGATGACATGGTGATTCTTAGGAGGGAATGTGTGAGATCTTTTTTGGCTCAGTAGGGGGTGTTTAAAAAGGCTGAGAAATACTGTTTTCAGGGATAACTGTGCTCATGGCCCGTCGCTTTCTATTTATTGTCTTTTCTTTGCAGTGATTCCAGTTTTGAAGAAATCCTGCATGACTTTCAGCCAGGTATTTTGTAATACCATCTGTTTTTATTTTGGCTAGTAAAAGAAATCCAATCCTAAATATTAATCAATTGAGAGAGCTGGCCATAACTTTGTTATTAACCAAGTTTCCCACTGCCACAGCCCAGATGCGGATCTGTATGCAAGGCTTCTCAGTTGTTTGATGTGGTTCTCACCTCCTCTCTGAGCTCATACTGATCAATGATGCTTTTCAGTTTCTCTGCAAGCTCTGTGTTCTCCTGACACAGCTTCATATTGCGCTCACTCTGCTGCTCAATCTGGGCCTGGATGTCTGTCAGGGTGCTCTGGAAATGACTCGTGATCTCCTTCCTTTTCTCTTCTTCCTCACGTGCCCGCTGAAGTGTTTCTTCCTGTGGATAGAAAGCAAACTTTTCCATTATGCCATTTTATAAGCACCCTGGGTTTACAGAACTCAGGGTTTGGTCAATGAAAGGAGATTAGTGTGCAGGGTTAAGTAGGATATTTTTTCTCTGTTCTCTACAAGTAACATTGCTCAGCCCCAAAATAAATGTTTGAGCAAAGCTTTCAGTTGTGAATAGACAGTCACTCAGAGCAGGTGCAGCAAGGGCCTTGAATTTGACAGCTGGTGATGAATAGTCTTGTTTTAAAGATGACGAGTCTCCTGCTGAGTGAATACAGTACATCAGTTTCTAACAAACATGCAGTTATAAGGTTTTGCTCTCTTGGCTGTGGCCTGAGAAAAAGGCCACTCAGTTTTACTGATTGATGGGACAGATCATGTGTTCCCTTGGTTTGGCACAGAAAGAAGAACAATAGATCTTATGTTCCTCTATAAAAAGACGGCATATTAATCATGTGTTCCCCAAATTCTTGTATTCCCCCAATTTTGTAAGTATAAGTGATCACAATATAAACTTTTTCTTAGTTAAAAAAAAAGCTTTCACTAAAAAGCTTGGAAAGGAAACTAAGATAACTATAGGTGAATTATAGCAATTCAAGAATGTCAAAGGCAATCTGAGAAAATATGCTGGATATTTTATTTCTGAAGGGACAGTCATTCCACATGTCACATAGAGTAATTGAAATGTTCAATGTAAATTTTGAATCTGAAAGCAATATTAAGTTTCAAATCTTCTTTAACTCTAAAGTGAAACATCTAATTTTCCCCTCTTCTGCTTTGTTAACACTTAAGAATTAGAAATTAACTTTTATATCATTTCTGTTCTCTTTTCTCCTAAATCAAAACTCCCCCTTCATTGCTAACTACTAACAATGTAACCAAATTTCCCCCATATCTATATTGAGAATTATTTGCTTTGTGATTATTCATCTCATTCTTCTAGAATAAAAGGGTTTAATCCTGCAACATGACACCAAAGATAGAGACACTGCTGACAAGTGATACAGACATTTTAGGATTCCTTTCAGTTCTGATTAATTGTTATTATGAAAGCTTGCTTCATTGTTGGCAAGTAAAATTATACTGCATTTAGTTGCCTATCACGATGAAGTTATATAACAGGATTTTTAAAAAGAAGTACTGATAGAAACAGAAGTAATTGTGCAAATCCTTATTATGATAGTAGAATAATGTGATCAAAATAAAAACTGATGCTGAAAATATATGCTCTGGAAATATTTTAATTTATCATTAGGTGTCTCCTTTCTTCTACAATATTAACACATTTTCTAGCTCTAATATAACTCTTGGTATCAGAATCATAATTTTTCATGGAATAAACATTGATTGAGTGGGAATTTCTTACAGATATTGTAGAGGAAATCAATACTTCCTAATCTGAAGAAATTAGCTGTTGGAGATATTTCCCTGAACTTTGTATGCTAACACTTACTACATGTATTTTGCTAAGAGTAATTATGGCCGTCTGTTAAGAGCAATTGAATATACATATGACGGTGATTGTTTCCTTATTAAGTGATTAGTTTAGAAGCCAACAACTTCCTACTCATAGAGGTACAGTCCATAACCTGAATGCCATTTGCGTTCATAATTATTCCATCCATGAATGAATGAGTAAATGAAAGAATCATCCCATGTTACCCAGAAGGTCTGAGTTTTTCACTGGCCACTGGCTACAGAAAGAAGGTATAGCTGTTAGCATGGCATTAAACACGTGTCAGACCATCATAGCACCCAATCCTAGCCCACAAAATGGCATCTTTCATTTTACATTACATTGTTTTTCAATGAGAGAAAAATAAACCTACTACAATCTTATAAAATTTAGAATCCATTCATCAAGAAAATGCAATCATTTAGACAATGTCTGAGATTAAGTTTTCTTTTTTTATCATGTACATAATTCAAAGTGAAAATTAATAATGCAAAGAAGATTGAGGGACAGAATTTGAAATAACTTAAGAAAACAACTTTGCAAGCATCACTGTGCATTTTAGAACCAATGTTGTGTCTGGCACACAATCCATAGGTATTCAGTAAATATATATTTAATGAATCAATGAATTGTTACTTTACCTATAGACATATGAGTAGTTTGAACTAGAAGATTCCTATAGTCTTTTCCACATTAAAATTTTGTGATATTCTGATAACAAATCCTACTTATTTCTTTACTAAAATCATGTTGCCTGAGACACCCATTTCTTACAGAGCAGTTCTTTTACAGTATAATTTGAGGCTCAGATTTATTGCTTCAAATATATGTAGTATGTTGTCAAAATAAACCTGTATCTCGGACTTTCACTGGTCTTTTTCTAAATTATCGTAAACTATGAGATTTTCATGCAGCTTTTTTGACTCATTGAAGAATTAGTTTTAATAAGGAATAGTGAAAGTTAAAATTTATAGTGGTGGAAAGAGCCTAGATATGCATTCTCTTTCTATAGCTTCCCAAACTCCTAGCATGTGGAATTTTGATTCAGATATACTTAGGTTATTTCACTAATGTGGCCAAGGAAGCTCATACCACCCTGACCCCTCTGTAGATGACAGCTGTAAACTCTGGACAAAACAACTACTTAAAGACATTGGAGAGTAAACAAAATCAGGTGGATTCTGGAGGGAAGTCGACACCTGTAGAAAGGGAACGGTATATTGTAAGTCTCCCAGTTTATATGGCTTTATCTTGAGGGAGGACTGCAGTTGGTGGCTGCATGGAATGGGCAAGACTCTCATAGAAAATCTACCATCTTTCTGGCCTGAAGAATGAGAGTACAGAATGCCAGAAACTACAGCTACTAGAAGGTGAGGGGAGATTCCCAGGAAAGAGAGAGTTATAGAAAGAGAGCCCTAAATTCTATAAATAAACTCTGTCCAAATCTTTAGCTGACCTTGAACCACACATGTGTAAGGCAGACTCAAAGCAGCCTAGCTAAAGGAAAAAAAAGGAAATGAAAGTAGAGCTGCTGCACAAGAGAGAGATTTGTAGTTTGACTCTAACCAAGTTACTTGTCTGCTTAAAAAAAATCAACATTCTTCAAGGAGTATTATAGAGTCCATATTCTCTACAGCATAACAGCCACAACATTCAGGGTATAATCTATAGTAAATTGACATATGAAGAACCAAGAAAATGTGACTCATTCTCAAAAGAAAAGATATTTAGAGGAGGCCTATTCCATAAAGACATAGATGTGGAATCAGCTGACAAGAAATTTTAAAGCAGGCATTATGATTATGCTCATTGATACAAAGGAAAATATTATCTCAATAAATGAAAAGATAGGAACTCTCAGGAGAGAAGAATAATCTGTAAGGAAGAACAAAATGGAAATTCTGGAGTTAAAAGTTACAAAATATGAAATTTTAAAATCACTGGATGGACTTAGAGCAGAATAGAGATAACAGGGGAAAGAGTCAGTGAATACTAAAATAGACAAATGATCTAATCTGGGTATAAAAGGAAAATAGTATTGGTGAAGAACATGGAGCGAGACTCAAGGACCTGTGGAATAATTTCAATTGTTCCAATGTAAATGGAGTTAGAATCTCAGAAGGAGAGAGAGAGAATGGGGCAGAAAAACTATTTGAAGAAATAATGGCTAAAACCTCCCCAAATTTGTGGAAAGACATAATTACAGGTATAAGAGCTCAGCAAATCCCAAGTAGGATAAATATGAAGAAAATCACACCTGGGCATAAAGAAGTCGAAGATCTGAAAACCAAAAATACATAGAAAAACCTTGAAAGTAGCCAGAGATAAATGACATATCACATACTGGGGACCAATAATTCAAATTATTATTGATTTTCATCAGAAATTATGGAGGCCAGAATACAGAATCTATAAAAGGCTGAGTGAAAGAAGGAAAAGGAAAAAAATCTTGTCAACCCAGAATTCTATATCCAATGAACATAGCCTTAAATCATAAAAGCAAAATAAAGAGATTTTTAAATATATGAAATAAGAGAATTAGCCTATGCTGTATGAAATGCTAAAGGAGGTTCTTCAGGCTGAAGGGAATGACACCAGACAGAAGTGTAAGGCTTCAGAAGGAATAAAAAGCATGAAAAATGGTAAATATCTGGATTAAAAATAGAAGACAGTTTTTGCCTTTAACTTAAAAAAATGTGTAATTGTTTAAAGTAAAAATTATAACATTGTCTCATGGGCTTTATAAGTGTATGTAAATGTAAAGATGGGGGTAGTAAGTGAACCCATTTATTTGTAATGTTTCTACATATTATGTGAAGTGATACAGTATTAACTCCAGACTGTGAAAGGTTAATAATGTATATAATAATCATAGAGCAACTACTTAAAGTAGAAAGAGGTATAATTAAAAATCCAAGAGATAAATCAAAATAAGAATTTAAAAATATTCAAATAATACAAAAGAAGGCAGGAAAAGCATGGAGGAACAGGAAACAGAGGTGACAAATAATAAATAAATAATAAAATGGAAGATGTATATCCACTCCAATAATTACATTATATGTTAATGACTGCTACTTCAATTAAATGGCAAATATTACAAGAATGAAAAGAAGCAAGGTTGAATTATATACTGTCTATAACAGACGTACTTTAAATATAAAGACCCAGGTTGAAAATAAGCATATGGAAAAAGATATACCATGCATGCAATAAAAGTAAGAAAACTGGAGTGGCTAAATTGGTATCAGACAATATAGACATCTATAGTGATAAAACAGCCAATTCATCAAGGAGGTGTAAAAATCATCATTGTATATGTACATTATATTAATGCCTCAAAAAACATGAAGCAAAATTTGACATAATTAGAAGAAGTAGCCAATCCCACAGTTACAGGAGGAGACTTTTAACACCCATCCCCCAGCAACTGATAGAACAACAAGACAAACATTCAATAAAGACATAAATAATCTAGAGCTAACTGTTACTTACGCAACACTATACCTAACATCTGAAGAACGGGCATTCTTTCCAAGTGCATATAGTATGTTTATCAAGATAGACCAAAAATGATGGGCTATAAGAATTAAATAACACTTCTAAATAATCCATGGGTCAAAGAAGTAATCAGAAGGGAAATAGAAAATATTTTGGATTTGAATCTTGATTTTGGCACTTAAAATATGCATGACCTTAGGCAACTGACTTGGATTGCTGAGTCTCAGTTTCTTCAATAAAATGGAGATACTAACCCTTATAGGGTTGTTGTGAAGATTAAATACAATACCGTATGTAAAGCACTTAACACAAGTCCTCGCATAACAATGATACTTAATTCCATTGTCCATAACTGGAAGCCACTACTGAGGGTGTCTGGGTACACCTACCAGGTCTCCTGCCACTTCCATCATTCTGTCTTTGAATGCTGTCCAAAGAGACCAAGCCATATCATTGCACTCCTTAAATATCTTAGTTGATAAGTCTTCTCACTTTGTCTGATTTAATTCTTATCTCCTTACTGTACATCCTTACTGAAAGCCAGGAGATTTATGCAAACACAGAGTGCTATTACTCGATTACACATCAAGCTGAGGATGATGCTCCCATTCCCGTCTAACTTGGGTTTTGATGGTCCTCATGCAATGATTAAAGAGATGCCAGAAACTCATTTCCTACAGCTTGTAATTTGAGAGAGTTCATCACACTGGCCTCTCATTTCCCAGATACCAAAAAACGATTTTGGAATATAAGCAGCTATTACCCTATTCTATTTTTCTTCCTAACTCTGTTGTACAAACTCAGTAATGATCTTAATCTGTTTCTTAGAGTATCTTTTTAAAAAAACACATGTAATAATAACTATCACAGGAATATTGATGTCTAATTAATCCTTGTTTGTCGAAAGCTTTAGGATCTTCTGCTGGAAGGGGGATTGTGGAGCATGCAGTATTATCTTGGAGAGCTCTGCATCTTGCTTCGTTGAATGGAGCTAGTGTCTGTGTGTAATCAAATTAACCACACTGCTAGAGGCTTACACTGTAATTAATGAAACCCATGCAGACTGAGTGAACTGATCAGTCTATTATTTTTAGATTGAATAATTAAGCTTGAAGAGCTTCAGTGTTTTCCCAAGTAGCTTCTTTTTTTCAGATGACTATTGACATTTTGGCTCTCAATCTTATCTTATCCTGTCAGTTAGCTTTGTGTCAATTTATTTCATGTCCTGCAATTTTCATTATCATACAAAAATGATGAATTTTTATAAATTTGTATTTTAAAGAGTAGAACTAAGGGCCCACCTTAAAAAAACAAAAGAAAACAAACTCCACATAAGAAAAAGGTAGGAGGAATGTGACACATTTTATTAAAGGTTTGCTCTGTGTCAGGTACTATGTGGGCATCTTACCTATGTGACCTCATTTAATTTTTCCCCAACCACACAGTGAGGTTGGTATAATCCCCATTTTGTGGATGAGGTAACAGGCTTGGGAGGTAAAATAATTTAATGCAGGTCACAAGTGAGCAAGGTAAGGCTAGTACTTGAACCCAGGTCTCTCTGATTCCAAAACTCACACCCTTACCACGAGAAGCGGAAGCCTGTGTCTAGGCAGCGTGCAAGAAAGTGGGTCGCGTGGGGCCTTGGGGACACGTACCTTCAGTGTCTTGTTGTGTCTCTGCAGCTCCCGGCACAGGCTCTCCAGTTTGCTTCGAGCGAGGACAGCCCTGCTGTGCTCACTTTGTAACTGGTCCTTTTCCTTTTGGATCTGTACCTGTTTCTTTTGTAGGAGTTTTAACTTCTTTTGCTCAGTGCGATGTTCATCCAGCTAGACGTGGGTGTGCAAACGTGAAAGAAAATGGAATCTATTTTAAGTCGATGGAAAAGGAGTAAGAGAGGAAATGCCTCAAGGTCACTCTATGCTTGTTTGGATAGCACTGTCCCTGCGGAATCCGATGAACTTCGTAAATGCTGACTTTTGCAGTACTTGTAGGTACGGTTTTACGAGCATAACATTTATAGGTTTTTCCTTCATCGTTACTATTATTGATCTCTTTTACTTTGATCTTCTTTTTGGTGGTCTAGAAATAGTTTCATCTTTCTTGAGTCCGTCTAATGACGCCAGTCAATATAGAACGGCAGGTCTCAGGATTCACAGTAATGCCTTGTGTTAGGAAAGTGGTCAGTGGTGTGTCTGCTTGGTTTACGTTTAATTCTGACAATTCTTTCTCAAAACAAGCTTTAGCAACTATTTTTAAAAATAGGAAAGTGAAAAAGAATATGAAAATGAATATATGTATATTCATGTATGACTGAAAAGTTGTGCTGTACGCCAGAAATTGACACGGCATTGTAAACTGAGTATAACTCAATTTAAAAATAAATAAATAAATAAATAAATAGGAAAGTGAAAAGCAGCTTCCTGGTAAATAGAAGATGCAGTCTGGGGGTTGTGAGAAAGGAGGAGAGGAGAATGTACCTCTCAAATACATAAGCACTGATGATTTGTCACCAAAGTTTCAGAAGTAGCCACTGCACAACTCAGCAGCCCTCATGGCAAACATCTGTAGAAAGCCTTGCTCCCACCCACTCCCACCCCTTCCTGCACCCTCCGTGCTCATGGCAAGTAAATCATGACCCGTGTTTCTGCTGAGCACAGGTGACACCTCTTCCAGCAGCCACAGCCAGAGTATCAGGGGCACTGTGAAAAATGAAGCAAGGACCCCTGGGCTTTACGTCTAGGGGTGCTAAAGTTCTGGGTAGGAGTGTCAGATAAAATGTGGGACACCTAGTTAAATTTGAATTTCAAATAAATAAGGAATAAGTTTTTAGTAAAAGTATATTCAAAGTATTACATGGGATGTACTTTTACTAAAAAAAATTATTGTTGGTTTACTTGAAATGCAGAGTTAACTGGGCATTCTGTATTTTTAGCTGGTAAATTTGGCAGCAAATTTTATGGAATTCTAGTTGGAGTTGGGGAGTTTGGGGTTTAACCGCCAGAGACTAGCGTACCAAAAGTGTGGATCTCGGACTGACAATCAGTGTGGCCAAGTGCAAACTGGAACCCTTAGTCCAGAGCTGTCTCCTGTGCTGTACTTAGTTCCTTCAGGCATGAATGGTGCGTAAGCCAGGTGGGTGCTCGTCCTAATAATGGCCTTGTTGGCTAATGAAGAGGAAAAGGCCTGGGAGCCCTTGGGTGCTTCAGGACCCTGGGTGCTCCTGGTGCCTTGCAGAGCCGCATGCAAATGGGTATGCACACAAAGTCTTGATACGTGTCTCAGGTATCCTGTCTTGAAAAAGCGTTTATTCTTTCTGAACTAGAACAACAGGACTGTCATACTTTCTTCAGTTCACATCCGCCACACTGAAATGTCCATAATAAACCCTTGCCAGATTAAGCTGGGGATATTCACACATGATATTCCATCTTCAGACTTAAGGGCAATTTTTACTTATTAGTGAGAATTAGCATCAGGGAAAACCAGGCCATTATTACTATTAATGTTGATTGAAATTGGTATCCTTCTAGAGGTTCGGCTGGGAAATCAATGATATTTTAGTATGTGTTTTTCATGCTAATCTCATTTTGCACCATAGTTATTAGATAGGGGTGAAACTTCTCGTGCTTCCATTTGGACTTTACATGTCCTTTCCTGAAACTTATGTATTGTTATTATTATGGCCATTATGATTTGGACCTTGGAGGATTGAACCATCTGTCAGGCTTCTCACCCTTAGCACCAGACCTTGGGGGTCAGGTAAGTGTTTGCTGAGGGGGCTGTCCTGTGCACTGCAGGCTGTTTAGCAGCGTCTCTGGCCCCTACCCACTAGATGCCGGCAGCACCCTCGATTGTGACGTCCAGAACATCTCCAGACAGATGTTGCCACCCCTGTTTGGGGGAACACTGCTTTACACGGATTTATTTGAGCATCAAGAGGATGATACCTTACATGTGTTTCATCAGTTGGAAGAGGTGATTTGTGCTTGCTCGTTGACCATTTAATGTTCTAGCTTTACTGCAAGATCATTTACATTTGGAATTTACCCAGGTCTATCTTGCTTTGCTCTTAAGAAAACCCCTTAAATTTCTGACAATTTATTTTTAGAGTGTGGCTAATTTTGTTTAAATACTTCAGATTTATGTGAATGCTTATGGGGTTTCTTAATGAATGAAAGCAAACATATTGCAACTGAGTCATCTTCAGTCAAATGCGGGCTTAGTAATTTAATAATGTATTTAGACATGGTTCTTCTGTATAATTATAACAGGCATATAGGATTTTTATCTGCAATTTCTCTTATTCTCTCTCTGTTATTATGCTAAAAAAGTAAAATTAATGCCAAATACTAAATTAGAGTAGTATTAGTAATGTTGGTTGTGACTATTTTAAAATTGAGGAAATTTTTAAAAATATTTCTTCCAGATCATTTCTTAATTTAGTCACAAGATGTCCTTATTTATTAATGAATACATACAATAGTTGATATTATAGGATTTAGAATCTATAAGGATGCATGAGCTAGAGTGACAGTTTGATTCACAGCTTTGAAATTTAATGATTTATTCTATGTTAACACTTATATTTCAGACACTCTATATTAATATCCAAATCAGTAAGCAGGGAAATAGGTTTTAGTCACCAAGTAGAAGACTGAAATTCTTCATAATTTTTCCTTTCTGAAAAGGATATGTAGTGGGTCTTGGGGGTCAATTTTCTCCTATTCATTTTTCCTAGCACAATCTTTTGGGTTTAAAAGTTTACTACAGGATGTGATAGAAATGCCAAAGTATTGTAAGACTTGAATTGACTGGGATCTCTGGAAAGGGGTTGACTGCTTGGCTAGGAGAGTGAGTGGGTTCAGGGAGTTCCCGGAGACCAGGGTGAACCGCCCTGACTCATGAAGAAAATCGTGGGCAGACTGGATAAGTGATTCTTCTCTGATGTCCTGCTGTGAGGCCACAGCATCGTAAATAGAATGGTGCCTAGTTCATCCAAGTATGGAACATGGCCTTGGTATGAGTAAGTAAATTGAAGGGCTAAGGGAAATCAATGTAGTAATTATTGAAAAGAGCAAGGATAGACAAGGTGAGGGTAGGGGCCAAATTTTGGAGAAAATGTCTGTTTTTGACACCTACCATTGTATGTCACTGAAATTGTTCATGAGTGGTTAACCACCAATATTAAACAAGTTGCAATGAAATTGATACACTAATACTTGCTTTATAAATTTCCACCATTCTTTTGGAAAGCCATATGACCATTAAAAGAAAAGCATTTGTACTGCTTGATGTAGTAATCCCAATTCTGGAACTTTTTCCTAGGGGAGGGGGAGGAAACAAATCTCTCATGCATTATGGTGTTCACTGCAGCCATATCTGGTAAAACAGACAGTGAGAGGAATCTAAATGTCCCCAAATCAGAGATCCAGTGGATAAAGCCAATTAATGGAAAATGACATAGCTTTGACAAAATATAATTATGAAGACTGTAACTATGTGGGAATATGTCTGTCATACGAACCAAAAAGACAGATACTAAATTATATGTAACTTATGATGGAAGTTATACCAAAGGAATCTCTGCATGTATAGCAGAACTGGAAAGGAAGACAGATAAATCCGTTTATGTTTTAGATTATAGAATTAGAGATATTTTTACTTGTATTGTGTATTCAGCATTTTCCTTATATCTTTGTTATGTGGTTTATGTGATTAAAAATAATTTAGCACTACTGTTGACACAGTTAAGCAGTCACCAGCCACACAGGGTTTCAGAATTTCTCTGGGTCTACTGCATGACAGTTCAGCATAACACGATGTGTCAACATACGAGGAAGAAAGGAAAGAACAAATGGAGATCACACGACTCATTAGAGTGAAAAAGAAGGAAAACAAGTCACTCATCAAACCCTTACTCCATCAGTAGGGATAAGATGCAACCAGAGACCTGAGGGGTTTGTGGGCCTGAAACTTCCTCAGTTTTGGAGATTTTCTTTAAAAAAAAAAGAGAGGGAGAGGGCATTACGGTCAGGGCCCGAGAGGGGCCCTAACTCAGACTTCTTTGGCTGCAAGGTAAATCTGCCTTCAGGGCCAGTTCGACCTACCACATGGAGGAATTGTTTTGTTGTGTGTGTAGGCTTAAGTTTCATTCTCCTGTCACTGCTTCTCCAAAAGAAATAAGTGGAACAATTCTTTTAAGGAAAAGCAGAAACGAGAGAGAGGCAGAGAGAGAGGCACATTGCCCAGCTTCCCTCAAGAAGACACCACATCTCCGCAGTGGGTCTCATACACCCCAGGGTGGTGCACGGACCTCAGGGGTAGCTCCTTTAGCCAGTTTTTGTGAGGGTTCACTGAAACTGGGGGTCCTGCCTTCACTGAACCCTCCCCCTTTTTCCCATCTGGCCCATTGTAGGAGCATTGGCCAGGAGACAATCCACTCTTGGATTCCCTGAAGTCTGGGAGGAGCTTCCCTTCCTGCCAGCTGCCCTAACTTATTCAAAGGCAGACTGCATGGGGAGGACCTAGAAATGGAAACAATATAATCCACGTCAAATGCTTTGCCATTGTGAGGGACAGGGTGTAGATCAAAGAGAATGAGTGAATGAATGCATGTGTGAATGAATAAATGGAGAAATAAATAAAGTCATTAAGAACAAACGAGAATGTGTCACAAACTGAGGGGTGGGATTAACTCAACCCTCTGCTTCCTGAGGAGACACCGCCACCCCCCTCCCTCAAAAAACCTGGGCATAAGAACTAGATGAAAGTTTGCCTTTATGTCAAGTGTATTTCTGTTTTATTGCAAAGCCAAAAAGAACTTTAAAATAGTCACAATTTTTAATCATCTATAATTCTTTCTTCTATCCCCCAAATTATGCACATAACTGAAGGTGGAGTAGACCCCAGCTCTATTCCCTTTCATCCTTTTGCTGTTATTCCTCAGTTTTCCTATTTCTTTTTCTTTTCTTTTTTTTTTTTTTAATTCTGCCTTTCTGAATTCTGGCTTTGTCTTGCCGGAGGTAACCAGCCATGGTCTATAGTGATGTACCTGAAAACTAACAGCCTGTTTTTCTCAGCTCTAACCAGAGCTTCACTCTTTCTGACAAAAAGGGCCAAAGAACTTACCAATTCAGCATACTTCTTGAATAAAAAATCAAGCTTTTCCTCAGGTGTTTGCAACTTGTTCAGATTTTGCATTAGCAGGTTGGCTTCTTTGCCTTAAAAGAAAACAAAAATCATAAAGATAATTTTTAAAATGTGTTGAACTTGAAGTCAGATGATAAGGCCTAGAATCTCAGGTTGTACGCTTGTTAGCTACTAAACAACCTTGGCCAAGACTTCTAGACCATGGCTGGTTACCTGCTTAACCCGTTGGAGCTGCAGGTATAATTTTTTTTCCGGGTAAGAAGGAATAATGCCTACTTTACAGAATAAGTAAGGATTAGTGAGAACTTCATAAAAATGTGTGGTACAGTGTCAGGCTCATGGTAGATTCTCAATAAATGTCTGCTATAAGAATAGTCCCCAAATTTTCATCCCAAGAATCCATTCTTGTTGCTTTCCCCTCATTTTCTAAATATTATAAGGAATTTTGAATGTTTTAAAAATATTCAAAAGAATCAAAAACACTGACATTATGGAAGAATAAAGCATTCATTTCCCCATGTTAATTAATAAAAAAAGAAGCAAACCAGCCCATCCAAATATCTACCATGAAACAGCCAGCATTAGTACACGGAGCTTTAAAAATTCCAGCCCAAAGCAGAGAAACAATACAGCTTAGTCAGCCCATTTTGGGGGCTTGTTTTTGTTTTTTTAGTGCCTCTTTCCTGTCTTTTTGGTGGGGAACCAATTCTCTCATTTCTGTGCATGAGCCCATTCCAAGAAGTCTGAGCAGAAATGACTGATCATATTTCCTAATAAGCAGAGAATAAAGTCAATACATAGAGAAAATGGACCCAAGACATGCAGGGCCTCTTCCACAGGCCTTGCTGGGTCTCCCTGGTTACAGGCTTAGCCTCCCAGCAGCTTCCCTTCTCCCACCCAGGCCTTAATCTCTGTTGGCAGTTTCATTTTCTGTTCCCAGTTGGAGTTTATACTACATTTAAAAACTCATCTGTTCATGATTATTTGACAGTGAGCCTCAGATTCTTTTCATTCCCCATTGTCCTTCCTTTTGTCTTATTCAGCTCAAACTGCCCAGTTTGCCTTTCTGTGGTGCCTGGAAGTCTTGTCTGTCGGTATTCACTGGGCTGAGTGTTGGGAGGCAGGCCCACATGTACCGCTGAGTGTATCTTTGCAAGGGTCCAGGTGGAACAGCCTTCCCATCCTCACCTACCTGTGACAGGCACCTTGTCCAATCAGAGTAGGGCAGACAAGCCACACAGTGGAGCCCATGTAAATCCCGATATAAATCTGTTTGAGAAGTATTAACAACTTTGACAATGTCTCTCCCAAGAACAGTCATTTCTCCTTGGCTGGACTTTTTGCCTTCATCCTGGAGAGTCTCTATCATGGAATTAGAGTTATCAAATGAAATGCAGGACATGGGACATACTTGTACTAAAAAAAATTATGCTTTGTTTATGTGAAATTCAAAGTTCCCTGGGTAGCTTGTACTTATTCATTTGCTAAGTCTGGTAACTCTAGTGGCATCAAAGAATTTTAAGTTTAGAAGGAACTTCAAAGAGTACTCAGACAACTGGTTAATTTTATAGATTAAGAATCGAAGGCCCAGAGAAGTCCAAAGTTACATAATTAGTGTTGGCAGAGCCAAGGCTTGAGTCCAGGGTTTGTCTACTTGCTCAAAATCACTCCACTCCCATGTGAAATTTTGATGCCAGAGAAACCTAGAGAAATAAAAGGAGACTTAAAAAAAAATGACCTCATTCCTAACAGCTGGTTTCATCTATCTTTGCTCAGTGAGTCAGTTCAGGTTAGAAACAAGGCCTGAGACAGGGGAGCAGGTGGGTGTGAGTGGTGCCCCACCAGGAATCCAAATGACAGCCTGTGGCTTGGCTGTAATATGTTGCCTTGAGATTGATAATCTCTGCTGCCCCACCCCCTTCAGGCCTGTGCTTTGAGCTATTTCTGCAGCAGCGGGTTGGACCCTCCCCTTACCCTTGTCTTCAGTCTGTGGAAGGTACCCACACGATGACTGCTGTGCTGAGTTAGTGTCATCTATTAAAGGTGCTGTTGGTCAAATTTGGCCCAGGACCCAGCACAGTGTTTGGCCCATGGCAAGAGTTTAGTAAATGTTGGTAAGAATGGAACAAATCAAAACCAATCTGTGCATGCTAACATCATGTAAATCAAGTAAGCACTGTCTGGAAGACAACTTTATGATCAGCTGGAGGAAAGACAGGTCTTACTCTCACCTGTGACATTTAACATATGCTTAGCATACCTTTCAGTGTGAGTACTGACATATAAAACCATTATATGTCTCCTTTGGGAAAGATAGAAACACCTGAGTGAGTCCAATGGGTCTCTTTTTCTCTCCGCATTCAGTTATCTTCTCTCCCTTTTGTTTTCTTTATGAGAAAAGTTTTTTTTGGTTTGTTTTTTGTTTGTTTTTGTTTTTGTTTTTGTTTCTTTTTTGTCATACTCATTGAGGTCTGTTTCTGCTCCCATATTCTGTTATTTTGTATAGAAGGTTAACATTCAAATGCATCAGTCTACCCTTCAAAAATGATTTCAACATGGAGGGACCTAGAGATTATCATACTAAGTGAAGTAAGATAGAGAAAGACAAATATCATATGATATCACTTATATGTGGAATCTAAGAAAATGACATAAATGAACTTATTTACAAAACAGAAACAGACTCACAGACATAGAAAACAAACATGGTTGCCAAAGGGGAAGAGGGGAGGGATAAATTAGGAGTTGGGGATTAGCAGATGTCGACTACTATGTATAAAATAGATAAACAACAAGGTCCTACTGTATAGCATAGGGAACTATATTCAGCAGCTTGTAATAATCTACAATGAAAAAGAATATGTATGTATAACTGAATCACTATGCTGTACACCAGAAACTAACACAGCATTGTAAATCAACTATAGTTCAATAAAATTTTTTAAAAAAATGATCTCAACAAAAAAATACAAGAAATTGGGGACAGGCATGTTTAGAACCCACACCTTTGTGACATCAGAGAGCTTAGTTTTTAAACTCCCATTGGTTTTCCTGGACTAGAGTGCTGTGTGGGATTACCGTGGAAAAGGGGAACAGGCAGAGACTTGCTCATCTTCTTAGAAAGGCTGTAATTATAATTCCATGAAAATGCAATTATTTGGTGACTGTCACATACAAGGGGAAAAATCAACTCTCTGTGTTTAAACTACTTGCAGTTTCTTGGCTATCACTATTAAAAAAGTTTCTTAAAAAGAAAAAAACTTTAAGAGTCTAATAATTAGGAGATTATTCCAGGGAAAACAAAATAAAGCAAAACTTTATAATAAAATAGAGAAATATCAGAAAAAGCAGAATAAATGCATCCATTCCCAACTTGGGTCAGACGAGAGCCCTAATCACTTTGCTCAGGACATATTTTTCTCTCCCATTCCACTCACACCTCTGAAACCCTCCTCTCTTTTCAGGATCTGCCCTAATTGTTAGTTTCCCTATGAATCTGATCATGAACCCTTCAGTGTCGGTGGATTCCTCTTTCTCCTAAATTCCTCCAGTCTTCTATCATCTGTTCCAGAAAATTTAGCATTTGTATCGAAACAACAGTTTATTTCTCTCTCAGAGTGAAACTAGGTATCAAGTTAGAACGGATAAAGCAGACTGGGAAGGTGACCATTGTAAGGCAGAGTAAGTAAATGGCGGAAAAGATTTTAGAAAACCAGTGTCCTAGTCAAGGGGCCTCTCAGAAGGCAGAACTGAAACTCACCTGTAACTGGAAAGACGAAACCCATTAACTGAGCTGCAGCTCAGTTAAGTGCTCCTCAACCAACACACTGATTATTTTTATATATCTTTGGCCCTATACTATTAGTGCTTTCCGGTCTGCCTCCTTCTTTATGACTGATCTCACAATCACCTTTATTTGTTTGTTTTGTTTTTGTGTTGGCAGACTTTAAAACTCGCTAGGCTTCAATTTCCCTGTGTATAAAATTAGTGGGTTCGTCTGACCAGGTAGATTCTGAGCTCAGAATGGACCCGTGGATCGGCTTTGTTTTTCTCTTGGATATTATGCTTCAAATCTATGATTTCCTCCTCAATCAGTTATCAACCTAAATATCAGAAGGCATATTACCCTTTATCATTGTTTCGTGCTTATTACTATGTGGTGCACATCATGTTGACACACATGGGATTAATAAGACATCTGTGAGCAGGAGGATGGGGTGGGAGAAGCAAGGGGGATACTTCGATGTTAACAGGACGTGTCATGGTGCTGTCTAGTGGGGAATCTGTTTCTGTTTCAGTTCAGATTCCAAGGAGAAAGCAACTCCACCAACTAAAGAGATTTTTAAAATGTTCCCTAAACTGCTCTGGTTTATAGTGAGTGTGTTGACTGTGGGAGGATACGCCTGTCGAAAGAAAACAAGCCCTGAGTGCTTGGGTTTTAGAGATGTTTTCCAGATATTCAAAGGCGTTCTGCGAAAGAAGGGCGTTTTGGGTCCAATAGGTTTAGAAACTATTGTAAACCATGCCCATCACTATTGGAGATTTTCATTGTTGTCTGTATTAAAGATCAGAGGATTCTGGCAATTAGGAAACTAGCTTGGTCTGAAATCTCAAGTATCTCAAGGTATACACTTTGGAAAATTTTGGACTAGAGAGTCAGAACATTGCACCATCTCAAAAATACCAATAAAGCAAATATTATCCTATGAACTTAATAAAGACTTATCTTCGATCAAATACATAAGCAAAGACTAAGGATGTATCTTCAGGTACAGACTGAATGATGTACTAAAAGTCTATGAAAGCTCCAAATAGATTCTAAAAGGAGACCACAGCTGGCACTTTATATTTTCTCCAAAAGGGTGCAGGAGGCATTTCTGAAGCACCAGAACCACTGCTTCCACAATCTGTTTGTGTCAAAATTACTCAGAGTGCCTTGGCCACAATCCAGACCTGCCAATTCTGAATCTCTGTGCTCAGGAACAGCATTTTTGACAAATTCTGTATTTGATTCCAATGCACAGTTAAGTCTGAAATCATCGGTCTAGATGAAGCATAATGTCATTTAACTGATAAATAACCAAGAAGTCTGTTAAAGCCACTTGCAGATAATTGAAATGATGTTTAAATGGTGTCTACATATTTAAATTAGCTAAAAAATGTTGTTTTAACTCAACTGTAGCTGAAATAGTACAATGTTTAGAAGAATATACTGATGGTGTTCAGAGGAACGGCATCAGAGTGTCAGCAGCTTATACACAGGTACTTAGGGTGGACCCACCCAGCCACTCTGATCACAGACTTTGGTTCTGATCAACACATTCAATTGAACTTTGACAACTTATAGACAGTGGCAGAATTAGTTGTGAAATTTTTTCTTTCTCTAAAATTTTTTTGATTATTTGGTAAGTGTGAGATAAATACAGATTTTGAAATAACTCCTGGGAGATAGGGTAGAAACCAAAATCGGTCATCTTTAACTTTACCCCAGCTTTCTTCATACCCATCCCCCCATGACACACATACAAATTCCTATGTAGAAGCAGTTTTAGAGTGGTAAGTCAAAATGGTTAGGAGCACTTGAAATCATTCACCTCTGTGATGTGATTTTGTGTTATCTTATGGAAAGTTTAACAGTGACTAATGCAAAAGGATATTTCTGAGATGCCCTGGATAGAGAAGAAGAAAATAGCTCGGTAACACAGAGCAACTTTATTCTCTTTCCCGTAGTTTCAAAGCACTAGAGTGAATCGAATCTTGGGAACTTGGTGTTATCTGGGTTAATCTTTATGCTGAGTGGTTCAAGTAGCTATTTGAAAGTGTCTTTTTAGCTGTTTTTGAAAGCATTGCCAGCAGTGGTTTCAAGCATCATAGTGAGGTCTTATGCCGCCAGAGACATACTTTTGGGTTTACATATCACCTGTTACTGGAGTCTGGACCCAGTTCTGACTCCAACGCCCATGATTTTTCAAACTGCCACACGGTCTTGCAGAAATGAGCATGTGTGATCACTGTCTCGAAAGAGTCTCCCTCCAGCTTGGGAGCCTGGTACATAAATGATTGCCGCAGGAAACTTAGTGGAGAACCATGGAAAGTGATGCTAACTCTACCTGAGCATGTCAGAGAACGTATCACGTAGGAGGTGGTGTTTGCAGTGAGTGTTTCAATGAAATTCATCAAGGAAGACAGGCAGCGGGATTCTCATATTTGCAGTAACACGCTTTCACTGGTAGCTAAAAAATGTACTCTCTCACCCTTCTTCCATAGCCATTCTTGGTGCTACCAATCCCCCATGCTCTCCTAACAATTCTCCTGTGCCTGTTCTAGCTCTTATCCTATATAACAATTAGTGTGTGTGCCTGTATTTCTCTCCAGACCTAGAGCTCCTTAACCAAAGACTACTTTTCCTTTGTGCACCTCATGAATACTAGCCATTATTAAATATTTGCTGAACCAATGAACTAATGATAGTAAAAATAGTTTCTGTAATTTTCAGCATTCTGTAATCAATACTCTTCTGAAGAGTTTTGCTAAATTAAAAAATACTTCAGAAATGTAGTTGGGAACACACTACTGAGTGATCTAATTGACAATCATTTTATATACAAAACCATCCCTATAAATAGCCTATTTAAATCTAGATTCCACGAGTTTGCTTTAAACAATTTCCCTCTCATTCATTCACTCACACATTTATCCTAGTAATAAATATTCACTGAGCACCTAGCATGTGCCATCTTCTGTTCTAGACACTAGGCATCCAATGATGTCCAAATACACACACAGTCCCTGCCCTTGAAATAAAAGAGCTAGTAGGGAAGAGATGGATTAACCAAATAACACAAAAATAAATGTATATACTCAAATGCTGATAAACATCAGGAAGGAAAGATAATATGGTACAATAGAAACAGAAAACAGGAAGACTGTATGGTGGGGCTAAGAAAATGCCATTTGAGTTGTGAGCTAAATGATGAGTTAAGTGTCCAAAGGGCAGGACTGGGAATGGGGAGGGATTTCTCAGCAGAGAAAATAAGACGTATGCAGGCCTCGTGAGGGGTGGAGTATGGCATATTCAAAGAACTGAAAGAGAAGAGCAGGATGATTAGCTACTAGACAGTAGCAGTGATGGTGGTGATAGGGGCTGAGTGTTCAGGAAAGCAGTGTCATGGGGTAAGTTGATGGGAGATAAAGCTGGAGAGACTGGTTTGGCTTAGACCATTAGGGGCCTAAAAGAACACATTAAGAAGACTGGCCTTTGTCCTAAGAGCAATGGGAAGCCACGAAGGACACAGGGTAGATGGGTAACATACTGAGCTCACTATAGCTCTACTAGGGAGGAAGTACAGTACACACAGGAAGAGAAGATGTAGGGAGAGCCTCAGCGAAGCCATTGTAGTAAAAATCCAAGTATGAGACGTAGTTTTAGCAAAGGTTGGAGGAAGTGCCCCCTTTTAGGAACAATTCAAAGAAAAGTCATACAATTAAAACATAATTACTTGCCTAATCCTTTTAGAATTTTCTTTTCCAACTTTTGCTCTTTATTGCTGACAGGCTCTTTGGCTGTGGGTGGCTCTCCAGAAGCTGCAGGTTCTCTCTCATTGTCTTCGGTGGGCTCCTCGCAGTCCCCATCCTCATTGTCGGCGGTTCTGTGTTCTCGGGCTGCTCCTTGGTCTTGGTGGGGCCTTCCTTCCCTACTGTGCTGGCAGCAGACCCGTAGGTGTTGATGATGTCTTCCAGCTGTCGGTTCAACTCCTCAGAGACATCATGAGCTCCCGGTTCAGGCTGCGCACCTGCCTCCTCCTCCGGCGCTTGCAGTGGGTTTGGGGATTCCTGATCACCTTGCTTCTCTGGGCTGTTTTGACTGGGTAATGCTGAACTGTCCCCTGCAGGTGTTGACTGTGGTTCCCCCGACAGCTGTACAGACTGGTTAGTCTCCATACTGGGAGTGGTTATCTGGTGGCAAGCACAGTCAGGTTGGATGCAGTTAACCCAGTTACAGTTAAATGGTAAGGCTATCCCTGCATGGGCACCTACTTTTTACAGTTTCTAACATAGAATGAATGTACCTCCACAAACCACTGATAGTGCAATTAGTTGGGTAGGAACAGTGAGAAACATCTTTCCAAACTGAGTCATACTATTAGCATATTTTTGGTTTCAGTCTTTAAATTTCAGAGGTATCTCCTATTATTGACATTAACAGAGCAATTCAAGCTATCATTTTTCATGGCCATATTTGTCATTTTTCTTAGAACAGCCAATTTGGGCTACCATTCTCATCTAATTCTATATAGATTTACAATCATTGGAAATACGTAGATATATACATTTAAAATGTTTACATTTAAAACAGAAGGGTTTTTTCCAAAGTCATTAAATACAGAGCCATTGAACATCACTAAAATCATTCATAACAATAACATTCTAAACTCTATTTTAATCCATATTAATATGAGTATATTAATATAAATTAATTCTTATATTAGAAAGAGGAGAAACTTTCTTTTCTCGCATTTTTCTTTTCCCAGATGAGCAACATGTAATTATCAATCAGAAAAACACCTTTTTTGAGGTTCAAACCAGCACCATTTTTAGAATAAGAGAATGAAGGAAGGTATAAATTAGCAAGTGAACTGGTGTAGAAACATGGTGATGCGCGTAACAATAATTCCTTGAATTTCTACATTTTCTGTTTCAGTATAAAATCTGATTTTCTTTTAGAGAAAGAAAAACAGATTACAATTTTCTCTTTTCAGTTCAAGAAGCTCTCAGATAACGATAATTTTTAAGAAGTCAAATGTCTAAAGAGCAGGGAGGGAATGAACTAGGGGAATGACCGGGGTATAATGTGGGCTGTTTGGAAATGGGGGTGAGGGACGGGCTGAGTCAGGTATTCTAAGGTTTCTGGCTAGCACCAATTCTAGGGTTGCAAAGGCTTAGGCCTTTAGGTCATGGTGCATTTTATTTGCAAACAACGTTTAATCAAGCTGCTCTAACTAGCAGCATAAAATTCTGACAGGGGCCTCATAACGCACAGGTTTTGCTGCTGTGGTGGCATGAAAGCAAAAACAGAAACACACTGCTCCACACACTGCACAGCTGCCTCCTGTGCTCAGAGCAGGTGACGGCAAATGCTTAAACACCAGCATGAATGGGAGATCCAGCGTACAGACACTGCCACCCACTCACGGCCCTCACCAAGTACTAGTTAACTTCGAAAGAAGTACTTTTTTCTTTCACCCATTTTAACTCATCATCTTTATTATCAAATGATGCCATAAACGTCTTCATTATCTTCATCCCTGGAATTTCTTTAGCCTGATCCCAGCTTGTTGGGCACACTTGTCTATATATAACTTATGCTTCCCCTGAACTTGGAGAGAGACACACGGCACCTGCTGTCCAGCCAGAAGTTATTTTAAGCTCTTCTAAAAGGAGCCCTGGCCTTTAGCACTTCATCTTTGAAAATCAAGGGAAGAAATGACTTTGAAAATCAAATTGAAAACAATAAACATTTATTGGTTTAAATCCACATGTGGGTTTTAAAGTGTTAGGGAGGCTTCTGAAGGTGAAATAAAATTTAAAGTAAAACAAACTTCAAAGCAGTAAATTTATAACTGACTGTCCATAGCAGTTTTAGTGGGGTTAGTCTAAATGCAAGTGTTTTGTTTGTATTTGATTTATTCTTCATTCATCAGAGGGCATAATCATTAAATTTTTTTTATTGTCCATGGATATGCTTTAAACCCATGTTCCACATTTACTTTAAAACAGAATAACTGACTCATTGTGAACCGCAGGACAACTCAATTCTTAAAAGTAGCCTCAAGACAAATCCATAAGAGAAAAAAAAAAGAAGGCAAAGAACTCTGTTACTTTGAAATTGTCTTTTTCTACATTAATTTTACAGCAAGAAATTGTTTCTAAATTTTATCTTCTATAAACTTCATTGCCCATCTTTTGCTGCCTCTGAGAGGGAATTTTTCACTTGTCTTGGCTGTCCCAGCAGATTATCACGCACACATCCCTTCCTGAGCCCACATTTTAATTATAAATAAAACAATGGAAAGTTCTTCCACAGTTCAGTGGCAGTTTCAAAGCTGCAAGTTTCAAACACCACAAACCGCGTCCTACATCTTCTCACAGGGCTTGGGGGAGTGTTTGTCATACTTACCAGAAGGCAAGGCGCTAAGCAGAAAGAGAAAGGAGAGAGAAGAGGCAGCAGAACTAGTCAGAGCAGCAGCACCAGCAGGAGACAGGCTGCCGGCTGTGATCTTACAGGGAGAGAGAAACCACACACACACACACACACACAGGCACCCAGGCTGCAGGAGAGCAGGGAGGGGGTGGGGAGAGGGGAAAGGAACATCGTGTGACACAGCAAGAGAGAAATACACCCAAGCTTCAGAAGCCGTCTCCTGGGCAAGTGTCTTAGCAAAGAGCAGCAGCTGGTAGATCTTACCAGACTCCATGTTTGTCCCTTACAAGTGTTTCGGTACATCGCCTCTTTGCTAGGGCAACTTTTCACCATTGTTGTTCTTTGGGGGCAGATATCAGTTCTTTTTACTTCGGGGTTTATTTCCAGTGTGGTCTATGATTCATCTTTTTTCTTCCCCTTCTTATGCTAGCTTGATTAGTGTCAAGTTTCTCATAGGAATCATGGAGAAAGGAAAACAATGGCATAACAAAAGGAGTGGGCAGAAGCACTTTAATTCCGAAGTCATTGGTTGGTTGGTTTGTAAAACTTACAGATTTGGACGGCTCCTTGGGCACTGGGTTTAATGCCATCTTTGTGTACATGCTGACTGGTGTGACCTCAGACCCCAGGGCTTACTCAGGCTACTGCCTTCACGTCTCAGATGAGCGCTGGGGGAAGCAGTCGCTTTTTCTTCTTTAGCTGCAGGGCTTCCCACCTTCCACAGCAGCTTTTCCAAGTCTTCCCCACCTGAAGCCCTCAACCTGTTCCTTGATCCTCCTCAGGAAAAGCACCTCCTCTTCATTCACCAGAAAATGCCTCTTTCTCTTAACCTGCATTCATTCCCTTTTCCTTCTGTTTCTGAAGATGTGTCCCACACTGTCCCAAAGTGGATTCCTCCTTGGGACTGGCCTGGCATAGTGACACCCCTTGTGATAGGCAGAATCATGCCACCAGAAAGACTTCCACATCCTAATCCCAGGAACCTGTGGCTATGTCACTTTCAGGGTGAAAGAGACTTTGCAATTGCGATCAAGTGAAGGATCTTGAGAGAGGGAGATTATCCAGAATTACTGGGTGGGCCCTGTAATTATAAAGGGTCTTATAATTGAAAGAGGGAAGCAGGAGGGTCAGAGTCAGAAAAGATTTGACGATCCAAGCAGAGATCAGAGTGATGGAGGGCCATAAGCCAAGGAATGGGGGAAGTCTCCAGAAGCTGGGAAAAGCAAGGAAAGAGATTCTTCTTGAGATCCTCTGGAAGGAATGCAATTTTGCTGACACCCGATTTCAGCCCAGTGAAACTCATTTTGGATTTATGACTTCCAAAACTGTAAAATAATAAATCTGTGTTGTTTTTAAGCCACTAGATTTGAGGTAAATTGTTACAGTAGCAAAAGGAAACTAAAATATCCTGCTCCCAAGCCTTTTTCCACCCCTTTCTCCAAGTTCAGGGGAGGCATTAAGTTATACATATATATAGATGAATATCCAATAAGATTCAATAAATGGAGGTCAGGATAAAGAAATTCCAGAGGTGAAGACAATGAAGCTGTTTACTGCATCATTTGATAATAAAGTTGGTGAATTAAAATGGGTGAGAGAAAAAAGTACTTCCTTCTAAGTTACACTAAGTACTTGGTGAGGGTCACAGTGAGTGATCTTCCACATTGGATTGTAGCAAACCAACCCATAGAGAACTCTCAGTAAATACGAACAATAAGTCAGTGCTTCTTAAATTTAAGTAAGGTACAGATTCTCTTAAGGGCCGTTAATGTTGTAATTAATTTAAAGGAAGAAAAATAACTCTCCATGATTGAAACAAGTTATTGTACCAATACGTACTAATATAAAAATAGGTATAAACTTCTGATGCTTAGTTATTATATGATACAATTTAAAACATTATTTTAAAAATTCCTACAAAATCAATAAACACAATTCAAATTAATAACATTACTTTTGTGTGACAGACAATATTTTGCTGAACCCATACTGCTACTTGCAACATGAATATGTACTGGCTACCAGTCCTTTTGAGTTCCTGGCACTCTTCTGCAGTGTGTTTTGTGAAATGGCTCAATTTCTTTAACACTTGGTCTGTTCAAATTATTACATAAGTTTCATTCATATGACCCGCCATGAATTTAATTGGACTTTCTTTAATATTAATATATCATTTACTACTTTTTCTCATTTCCTGCGCTTGGAGCTAAGTTGACTAGATATACACATGATAGTGAAGGCTCCCAAACGACAGATATATGTGGTAACACAGCATGACACCTACTCAGATGGTCCAGGATAGGCTTACACAGGCAGACCTCAGGGATATTGCGAGTTCAGTTCCAGACCACCACAGTAATGCAAACATTGCAATAAATCAAGTCACATGAACTGGTTGGTTTCCCAGTGCATATAAAAGTTATGTTTACATAGTACTGTAGTCTGTTAAGTGTGCAATAACATTATGTCTAAAAGGTACATATTTCAGTTAAAAAATACTGTTTTGCTAAAAAATGCTAGCTGTCATCTGAGCCTTCATTGAGTTGTAATAATTTTGCTGAGGGAGGGTCTTGCCTTGATGTTAGCTGCTGACTGATCAGGGTGGTGGTTACTCAAGGCTGGGGTGGCTGTGGCAATTTCTTTAAAATAAGACAACAATGAAGTTTGCCACATCAATTGACTCCTCCTTTCACAAGTGACTTCTCTGCAGCATGAAATCCTGTTTGATACCATTTTACCCACAACAGAACTTCTCTCAAAATTAGAGTCTGTCCAACCATGCTGGTGCTTTATGAACTAAGTTTATGTAATCTTCTAAGTCCTTTGTTGTCATTTCAGCAATCTTCACAGCATCTTCACCAGGAGTAGATTCCATCTCAAAAAACTACTTTCTTTGCTCATCCTTAAGAAGGAACTCCTTATCTGTTAAGGGTTTAATCATGAAATTGCAGCAATTCAGTCATATCTTCAGGCTCCACCTCTGATTCTGTTTCACATCTGCAGTTACTTCCTCCTCTCAGGTCTTGTGACCCTCGAGGTCATCCATGAGGGCTGGCATCAGCTTCTTCCAAACTCCCATGAATGTTGATATTTTCACCTCTTCCTGTGAATCATGAATGTTCTTAAAGGCACCTAGAATGGTGAATCCTTTCCGTAAAGTTTTCAGTTTACTTTGCTCAGATGCATCAGAGGAATCCCTATCTATGGCAGCTATAGCCTTACAAGATGTATTTCTTAAATAATAAGACTTAAAATGTGATATTACTCCTTGATCTATGGACTGCAGAATGGATATTGTGTTAGCAGGCATGAAAAAGCAACACTAATCTCATAGAACATCTCCATCAGAGCTCTTGGGTGACCAACTACATTGTCAGTGAGCAGTAATGTTTGAAAAGAAATCTTTTTTTCTGGGCAGTAGGTCTCAACAGTGGGCTTAAATTATTCAGTAAACTGTGTTGTAAACAGATGTGCTGTCATCCAGGGTTTGTTGTTCCACTGACAGAACATAAGCAGAGTAGATTTAGCATCATTATTAAGGGCTCTAGGATTTTTGGAATGGTAAATGAGCATTGGCTTTAACTTAAAATCTCCAGCTGCATTAGCTCCTAACAAGAGAATCATGCTGTCCTTGGAAGCTTTGAAACCAGGCATTGACTCTTTTTCTCTAGCTATGAAAAGTCCCTAGATGACATCTCCTTCCCATGTAAGGCTGTTTTGTTCACACCGAAAATCTGTTGTTTGGTGTAGCCACCTTTATTAATTATCTTAGATCTTATCTTAACTTGCTGTAACATCTACATCAACACTTGCTGCCTCATCCTGCACTCTTATATGATGGAGAAAGTGTCTTTCCTTAAACCTCATGAAACAACCTCTGCTAGATTCAAACGTTTCTTCTGCAGCTCTCTCAGCCTTCATAAAACTGAAGAGAGTTGGGGCCTTTCTCAGGATTAGATTTTGGCTTAAGGGAATGTTGTGGCTGGTTTGATCTTTCAGGACCACTAAAATTTTCTCCATATCAGCAATAAGGCTGTTTTGCCTTCTTATCAGGCATGTGTTCACTGGAGTACCACTTTTAATTACCTTCAAGAACTTTTACATCCCCAACTTGGCTAATTCGTGCACAAGGCCTAACTTTTGGCCCATCTTGGCTTTCAACATGCCTTCCTCACTAAGTTTAGTCATTTCTAGCTTTTGATTTAAAATGAGAAATGTATGACTCTTCCTTTCCCTTGGACACTTAGAGACCATTGTAGGGTTGTTAACTGTCCTAATTTTAACACTGTCATGTCTCAGGGAATAGGGAGGCCTGAGGAGAGGGAGAGAGACAGGGGACCAGCTGGTCAGTGGAGCAGTCAGAACACACACAACATTTATCTATTAAGTTCCCTGCCTTATATGGGTGTGGTTTGTGGTGTTCCAAAAAATTATAATAATGACACCAAAGATCACTAATCACAGATCACCATAAGAAATATAATAATAATGAAAAAGTTTGAAATAGTTTGAGAATTACCAATACATGACACAGAGACATGAAGTGAGTAAATACTATTAGAAAAAATGGTACCAATAGACTTGCTAGGTGCAGGGTAGCCACAAACCTTCAATTTGTTAAAAAACAAAACAAAACAGTATCTGTGAAGCACACTAAATCTCAGTGAAATGAGGTATGCCTGGACATATTTAATTAGAATTATAATGAATACAAACACTCTAACTAGTGGCTCCCAAGAATCCACCTGTAATCTGCCAGAGGCTCGGAGAACTGGAGAAGGTAACTAAAAAGACAAATTAATAGAGCTCACTTCTTTATTATAAAATCAACTTTTGAGCTACTATAAGGAATACATTTATTTTTAAATAACATTTTAGTGTAACTATTACAAGAAAATAGTTAAAAAGTGAAACGATGTTAAAAGGCTTATCACAAGAAACAGTGTTTCTTTGATCTCCCCACTATACTTTCCTCCAGCCTTGTCATGCTCCCCAGAGCTCCCCAGGTGATAATATTAAATATTACAGATATTGCTTCTCTGATTTACTTTCTCATTTGTAAATAAGATGCTTATATTGCTGTCTGTCAACTCATTAATTTTTGACATTATCTATTGTCTTCCCA